TGCAGGGTCGGAAAGAGATCAGCACCACACAGCCAAGCTTCTCTGGGTTCATTCAAGCCTCAGGCTGAGCTGTTCAGGTTTAATTAAAGTCTGTAATCCTGCACTCCAACTTTAAAGGACTGGGCTCTTCTTAAAGAGAAGCACATGTCTATGCAGTGTTCTGATGAAGCTCGTTTTCAGCTGAGATTATAATAACAACCTCTCATAAAAATCCATCTAACAAATTCTAAGATCTATAAAGCGTAGACCAGTTCACACCTCTCCACTTGTAACCGTATAATCACTGGCACATGTTTTTGAGTTCTAGGTATTTTGCTGTTCGATGCACTTACGGCATTTCCTCCGGCAGCACGTCTGCCAAGATGTTGATGGAGTCTGTTTTGGCTTTGGATGTAGGAGCGGCAGCAAGAAGGATCTTCAGCAGCGCGATCTATTATTCAGAGATGCATGACGGGATTAGACTGATGGAGAAAATAAGTGTAATGCAATGAATGAGAATAGAGACTTTTCATGAAGTATCCAACACTAGCACGGGTTAAGTGAGGCTGTTATGAGATGCGTTTGACAGCAGCTAAATATAAACAGCCCTTGGAGCTGCTGAACCACACACATCACTAACCATGTACTGAGGCAAGCTGGGCAGGATTCCCTGATAGAGCAGTTCAGTGGAACTCATCTCCACTTCCTCTTCCCCCTAATGACAAGGGTAAAAGAAAAGAGTTCAACCACATCTCTTCAAACAGTTTGGTTTTGCAGAATGCATCTCAGAGGGTGTGCGTGTTTTCTTTTTTTAACAACTTATAATTGTAAATTATGGACAACTTACACCCGACAGAGGGGTTTTCTGGTATTCCTCCTCCTTTGCAATCTGTATTTCTGCTACAGAGATGTACTTATGCTGATAAATAAGAAGAAAATTAGCTTAAATTCAGAGGGGAATCATAAATAAAGGCTGACATTGAGTGCAGAATGTTCTCATACCTGCTTTAGGGTCTTGATGCTCTCGTGAATCGGTCTGGGTAAACCAACCACTGTGTCCGTATCACTGAAGATACAACATTTTAAAAATGATAAAATGGTTAAATAAAATGTTTCAGCACACACACAAAGTTATCACTTTTAGTTACAGCCAGGAAAAAATAAAACTGACCTTCCGAGTGTGTAACCAATAAATTTGCTTCTACTTGATTCCAGGAAGTTTTCAATATCTTTTTCCCTGTTGGAGTGAAACAAATAATGAGAACAAATCCAGCCATGATTCCTTTAGAAATGGGAACAAACAAAATCACTGGTATGTTTGAATGAAAGCAGATAAGTTGAGATTTTCTTTGAAGTAATTCACTTAATTTTAACTCTGAAGGCATTTGAAATCTAAGGTAACTTTACCTGACTTTAGGAGCCCATGGCAGACCCTTGGGGAGGGACACCCTCTCAGATGGAGGGTGGGGAATGGGAGGAGGCATCACCTCATCTCTTTCTATCGGGAAAGTCTCTGCCTCTAAAGAGTTGTCGTTGTCATCATTTTCTTCCTCGTCTTCGCGAGAGTCGTCAGCCTTGTATGGGTCCTTCTCATTGAATGTGTCCAGGTTGTCCTGTTTTATCAGCGCCTGAGAAACATACAAGAGGACGATTAAGATGTTGTGAATTCATATTTGAAAAATAAGAACTGAATGTGAAAAGCACTACACTTACACTATGATGTCATTGAGACTTACACTTGTAAAGCTCCCCAAACAAATGACTTCAACTAACTCTTAGAAAAATGTTATTTTTGCAGCTGCATGATGAAACTTCATGTAGAAAAAGGAGGGCATTTTAAATCTACACTCAGATGTCAATATGTTCCTGAAACTGACACTAGAAACAGCGTTGAATACCTTGTGTTCCCGGCGGGCTCGCTTTTGCTGCTGCTCTATGAGGTCGGACGCCGACGCGGGGGGAGACGCTGCCCTCATGCTGCGAATGACTCGAATGCTGTCCTCCGGCAGAGGAGGAAGGCCCAAATCCTTACGCCTGCAGACCTTTATGTTCTGAAGCTGTTCAAATCCTCCGAGTGTGAACTGAAACAAACAAGAGGGGAGGGTTTCATCACATAATGTTTCCTTTTGGCACCAGACAGCCAGGACTTTCTTTTATAGACGTATATTTTGCACATTCCCCTCACTCACCAGTATGCTCTTCCACAAAAGCAGTAACACCTTCTTCATGGGGAAGTGAGGGGCATGGCCGCTGCAGAACTTGGTTACCATGCCAAAGAGCATGACAGAAATAGGCTCGTTATTGAACAGAGGAGATCCTGAATTAGAGCAGAGGAGTGCAATTAATTTCTTTATTAGATGTCGTGCATTTTCTTCAGAAGACTGCTGCTGCTGACTACACTTACCAAGTTCTGCTCTGAAGGTTTCCCTGATGATTTTCCATTCAGGTTTGTCAGCAGGGTCGTCCTGCTGGATCGTCTCCACCATCAGGTACATTATGTTAAGCAGCACTCTGAGATCTGTGCTGTCTGCGAGGGAGATGGCCGGTTTTCGGACCGCACTACTACAGGCAGCGCTGTTACTGAAAAACAGAAAGAAGGTGTCATTGGAAAAAGATATTTACTGGAATTCTTGAGAGTTTTAGCAATTCCAAGGAAAATGATTTGATGGCAACAACAGTCTTTCCATTTCAGGGTTATTATTGCAGAGCATACTCAATTTCCATGTTTAGCAGTTCCACCAGAGCAGAGAATGTTCCCACATCAAGCAGCAAAAATATGTTGTATCTCATCCAGTGCTGTACATCTGCCTCAGAGCTGCACTCTGCAAAGGCCCCTGGACAGTAAAGACAAACAACACAGAAGGTCATACAGAGACAAACAAAAGTATCTACTCTGACCCATACCCCTGTGGCAATATTTCATGCTGCTTTGATCAATTAAAGGCGATGTGTACTTACCCTGAGCCATGTACAGAATAGCTCTGGCAACTCTAAGTCTTTTTTCCCGAGCAGTGACTTCCAGACTGTCAAGGAGGCGCATAGCATGAGCTCTGTGCTGAGCTGCATCCAGCTCTGTCCACTTCTTTTCAGACACTGAGGCACAGCAGGAATAGAGATGTTAAATCCTTACACACACACACACTGAAATATCATCCTATTCAATATAGACTTAATGTTAGTTTCATGCAGTATACTATCTACTTACCATGAGCTCTAAATTCCTCCTCAAAGCACTTCCTATTAAGAGCAAACTCTGGTCCTTCAGTGTAGCTGTAAAGCTCTGAAACACAGATAAATAAAAATATGAATAAAAAAAAGACACTATCATGGATAAACCCCTTCAAGAATGATAAATTCTGAAACATCATACACACCCGACAGCTCTGCAGCCCATTTGTCTGTGTCAGAATATTCAAATTCAAGATCTGGAGACTCAGACAGTCCCTGTACACAAACACACAGAATAATGCATCAATTCAACAGCTCTAAGATGGGATATCAATTGACCGATTATTACCAATTCAAAAGCATAATTTGGTTGATTTTAGTTGTAAAAATGAGAAAATCAGCATAGCAGCGACACCTGAAAAATAAATAAACCTTTGAAAATGTCCTAATCATACAAAAGAATTGGACATGGACACAACCCTAAAAATTATAGTGAGAAATGTATTTTATATGAAATCAATAAGTCACATCAACACAGATAAATACTATTTTTTCATTGTGCTTTGAGCAACTGACTATCAATGACTATTTTAAAACTATCTGTGAGTTCAGACAGCAAAAAGAAAGTCTACCCAAACACCATCCATAAGGATCCCCAATAATGCCAAAAAATACCTCAAAGAAGCAGCACTGTCTCAACCTGATTTAGCAGAATTTTACAAATGGTTGGGTATGGATCAGTAAGGAGGAATTTCCTACTGATCCATAAGCATTAACGCCTGCATAACTCATAATTGTCAATGTTTTACCATGCTTTTTCTTTTCGATGTTCGAACCATTCCAGTTGGTGCAACACAGAGATCATTTTCTTATATAATGATACCTTAAAATGTTATGACAGGTTGAGAAAAACAAGAAAGTAACCTGAGACATTCCGTTTCTGTACAGTTAGCCTGAGCCCTCTCACTGAAGTCTGGCCTGTGATTGGCTAACATCAGTTAGCTACACGCTATAAAACTACATTGATAACCCAAATTTAGTCACCGTTAACAGATGACAACATCTTTAACGATAATAGCTACAAATTCAACAAATCAAACAGTTACTTACTTGTTACTTATCTGTTCGTTAGTTATACTAGCTAAGCTAAACTAGAGCGTTAGCTAACATCACAGGAGCAACAGGAGAGGCCTTGTCTAATTTAAGGTTATCTAAAAACAAAAAAGAAATCAAATCCATGTAACTACATACCTCTGAATCTTTTCTTGAATTTCGAGGGAATTCACCCCTGCCTTTGTTGGGTAGCATTGCTCTCTGTTTATTGTTTACAGGTAGCCCACTACCGTTCCCACTGGCATCCATAATTATGGGGCAAAGTGAACTCTCGCGAGATATGATTCTGGTCAGTCTGTCTTTGACGTCAGTCGAGCTGCTTCCGCGACATTTTATGAGTTGATTTTTGGTTTGAGGCGTCTGGGAATTAGACGCTATGTTAATTTGTTTATATCAGCTAACGTCCAGATATCTACATATTTTTTTATTATGTGACAAATAAAGTATTCACTTGCTTACATATTCTACTTTGTTTTGTGTGTTTTTAGCACTCTTGCACCAAACAAAAGTTTCTGCTGGTCAGTTTTCACTAAAACAAAAGTCAGTAGTAATCATACTTCATTGTTAAGACCAGAATTTTCAAATTCTAGTATTGATAAATTACATATTATCCTCTTTTACAAACTTGGAAGGTGGGGATGACATAATCGGTTGCTGGAGTTTTGTCAGGCTGCAGCATTAATGTTTGGAAATATCAGATGCACACATAGTATGGAATGTCAAATATGAAAACCTACTAATTCAAATCAACAAATTATTCTTTGTGTTCCCATTTGGACAGTCTTCATGGCAATTAAAAAATGTTTGGGAGGACAACAAGACATGATGCTACTTCCTGGATCTATCAAGACAAGCTCCAGTAACTCTTCACATGGAAAGCAGGCACGTGGGAATGAAATGATGCATCAGTCTATTTTAAATTATAATTATTTATTAAAGAAAACTGTGCACAGAAAACCTAACACGGTGTAGACTGATTAAATCATTCAAACTACAGACAGCATTGAGTACAGGAAACACTAAAGCTGATATATAATTAACAGAAACTTGGATCCAAATGCAGCAATGTTGTGCAGTCAAATCACAGTGTATGCTGTCAAGCTGTTTGCACACATTCATTTGTCTCATAAAATAAAACACATTTGACCACTTATTTTAGTGAAGGCAGAGTAATTCTGGTTGATCACAAAAAAAGCTAATTAAAAAACAGGAAGGTAAAACATACAACTGTGAGAATTTTTCAAAAGGTGAAAGTAAAAATCTATTTATCTATTTGCTATAGGCTAAAAATATTTGGATTATTTTAAAGGGTTGAACACTGATTAACAACTAACCCCAGCCTCAGAAGTAAATGACTTCAGAATGAAGAAAGAATGAGGGCGTTTTTCTGCATAGCTTTCACTGTATACTGCAGATTGACAAGTAACCATGGTGACAGCACCCATTATGCTGACAAAGATGTCCTCACTTAATGTCCCTGGCTCAAATGCCCCTAAAGCTGTTAGTGCAAAGATGTTAGTATTTCACAGTAGTGCTATGTGGGCTACTGTTCCATAACCAACAGAAGAAAACAGGTCAAATCAGCTTGTTCATTTAAAATGACAGGACAAATTAAATACAGCAAGTACCTGTATATTTAAATCAAGACTTTCTTTAGAGACAGTAACTGTCGAGATTAGGGTCATCTTAAAGACGCCAGCATAAAAAACAGCATTTTGAAATGTGTTTAAGAGTTTTAAATTCAGAAGGACACAGCAACATGCACACTAAAACAAATCACTCAATCAAGCCATTGAATGTACCCTCAATATAAAATGTATGGCATATGAATATATGGGTAAATGTTATGTGTATTTTGCGAGCCTCACAAAACAGTGCTGAAGCCTTTCAAATAATACAGATTACTGGGGAACATTAAAATTGTGTACTAAAATCCTTACATTATCATACCACAAGATGACACAGAAGGTAAAGACAACACATCTGCTAGGATAAAGGTGCAGATAAAGTGAGAAAAACTAACGTTTCAGAATATTTTAGGCTTTGACTTCTCAGTTATCACAGACCATTAATAGAAAAAGCAGATATCCTCTACTTAAAACAAGTCAAGAGTCCGTGAGAAATACATTGAGGAGTCCATTAAACGTTGTTATGTGTACAGTTAAAAAAAACAAAAAAAACAAGGCTGAAATGCAGAATACAGATCCCTATTACCGTAAATTATTTCTAAGGCGTGAACAGTGCATGGTGAACACGTCAGTATCAAAACCTTAAATATTAGCCATACAACTGTAACTAACATTTTCAAAAGAATGTGAGAATAGACATAGATACTGTGATTATATAATGCAGATCTGCTAAAAAGAAAATAAATATTTACATATCCTTTTTTAGATCTGAATGCCCTGAGGAGTAGGAAATATTATTTCCAAAGACAAAACCTCATAGATGGACATTTTTCAAAAACATAAATGACCAAACTTAAAAAAAACATGATTTGCATGTCAGCAATCAAGGTGATGATGCTTTAAAGGTCAGGACATATCTTCTGTCCTTTTTCTCTGGTAGACGGAATGTTTTATGTGAAAAAGTGCTTCATTATTAAAGTAGAACGAAATTCTTCAGCAGCAATGAAAGAGTTTAGGCCAATTAATGGCAGAAATACTCAAAAGCAGCAAAAAGCCGGGATTTACAAGTTTTATGGCTCATCTCGAAGCAACCAACTACCTCCTTTAAGATCTGGTAGCAGAGAAACATCCAATTAGAGTCATGTGTAGCCTTGCTACATACGGATTTTAAGTCTGCAATTTGTTGCTTTTTCACCTCAGATTTGGTCCACATATACCTGAACAAAACTTGTTTTGTTTTCCCAAGAAGGTTATATGTCAGTTCATTTCATGAAATTGGAAATTTCAGCAAAGGGATTCATGAAAAAAACGTTCAATGAGCAGCAGAGTGTTGTGGATGTTACATTTGTTTTTGCGTTACAGGAAGGACTACAGTGGAAATACATTTAGGTTTTAAAAAATAGTATCCGTGTTGGTTTAAAATCATTTCTGATCATCAGTATTTTAGAGAAACTATAACCCCTTATTCTCACAGTCATTTGGCACAATAGTTATACATTATTCAATAGCGATCACACAGGAACCAGCAGGTTTAGATATGCATGCAATAAAACTCTTATCAGACATTTGAGTGCTGTAATTACACTAACTTTTCATACTCAGCCGAGTAACACATGCAACATCTGCAGCAAGTAAAGCAAAACTTGCTGTGGCTGCACAAAATGCATCTATGTAAGGGTGTGCATACCCAGAAAAAATGGGGAAAAAAATGTATACATGAATCCTTCACTTGTCTGGAGTACAGGAAAGAAGAATTTGTCTTCATATTGGAAATTCTGTTGTACATTTCACTTCCTAATACCTGTGAATAACAGAGACTGATTAGACGCACAGGAGGAACAAGTATTTATAAAAATAATCAGTTAAAAGTTTTCTGTTACTTTTTTCAAGCACAAAGTAGGTAGCAGTAAGGGTTTTTTCAAGGACATTTAGATTATTTTAACCCAAGAAGGGTTTTTATCCAATGTAATTTACACAAGAGAAAGACACTGGAAAAACTTGCAAAATTCGTAAATTTGCCAAAACGTGCTTTCCCTATAAGAGGCAAGCACTACCCCTCTTGAGTTACAGTCAACTATAGAAGAAGAACATACATTTAAAATGTGCAGAATTGTACCTGTAGTAGTTTGGTTTAAATGGGCCATTCTTATTTAGACCCAGATACTTTGCCTGCTCATCAGAAAGCTCTGTTAGATGGGCGTCAAAAGTGGCCAGATGCAAGCTGGCCACGTACTCATCTGAAATACAGAGATAGGAGATAAAATGGAAGAGGTTTCACAGTCATTGTAATCAACATGTCAAATCAATTAATTGTAAACATACTGCAAACAATAACAATGTTATTAAGCCTATCACAACTTCATCATCAGGACAAAATAGTGAGCTTTAAATTTTCCCTTAAACCTCAGGGTTTTAAATGGAAATCCTTTTGTCCCCAAAGATGAATAATGTGGCAATAGTTAAATATTTATATCCTCACCCATCTTTTTTGGCAGCAAGTACACATCCTGTTTGTACCGTCCCTCTGGAGCATTGTACAACTCTATGAGAGCGAGGGCCTGAAAACATTCATCAATAACCCTGTTAAACATTTAGATGTAATCAAATGTATTTCATTTAATCAATAGCAAACAATATGTATGAACTTGTGATCGCAGAGCAGAAAAAACAGGGTATGCCAGTGAACACAAGCAGAATTTAGCTGAGTGCTCTGCATAACGTGACATTTCCAGGTCAGATCAAGAGCTTATGTACTAGGATGACAACGTAATTACAGAAAATGGAAAAGAACAGTGAATCCTACATGCTCTGCTAACCCCAGTGAATGATAATAATAACTTTAATGTGGCTTTAGTTGCCATGTGACCTGAGTGGTGGCCGTGATGGACAAGACAAAGGTAGGGACGGTGGAACAGCTGAGGTTCAAAAGACGACCCTGTGGAGGAAATCCAAAAATTATCAGGCATGATGAAATACTGAGAATGTTCAAGAGTCAAAAATAGGTGATGCGTGTTCATGTATAAAGAATACATACAATTTGGCAAGTCCTTAACAGATGATCTTTAACACATAATAATTTTCTATATATTCAGCTCTAAAAAGGCTCACAACTATACACTTTTACACAAATGAGCAAACGCATTAAATTTGTTTGGTCGCTTTAAACACTGAATTGCATCAAATGTACAACAACTGTATTAACAAGAAGACTAAAAGAAAGCCATGGATGTAGCCAATCACCTCAGCCAGGAGGATAACTCTCTTGCCATCGGGCCATATGACATGGTCCACCTGAGAGCGGACTCTCTCCCAGGTCAGCTCAGGGGTCCGAAGACTTGCCTAGACGAATCCAGAACATTAGTCATCATCTCAGACAGTGCAACAATGACCGTTTGAACCCATTTTCACAAAATTATAAAAACTACACCAGCTTCTTCTGTGGGATAAATGTAACCTTTAATTCTACTTCAATGAGAACACATTTACCACATCGATCTCAGTGTTGGAGTGTCCCATGTTGCAAACAATAGAACCATTTTTCATTCGATCCAGCTGGTCCCTGGTGACCACATTTTTATTGCCTAAACAGAGGGAGAGAGGCGCATAGTTTGAGTGTGTTTATCATCCAACAAAGAGAACATCACAAACAAACAGCCCTGATAAGCATTGTAAAGGACCATGAGCTAAAAGGCATGTATAATAGATTAAATTGCTCTCAAATGTAATCCCCTGTCAGTTTGAGTACACCAGTACTGTTTGAAGTCCGGTTACCAGTGCATGTGATGATGACATCAACCTGGCGAATGACCTCGTTCAGTTTGACCACCCTGAAGCCATCCATGCTGTTTAACAGAGACAGAAGAGACAGAGCAGTCCGCTTCAGCAAAGCAATGACACACAGGACATTTCTATTATTCTCTGATATGCAAATATATTGAGCTGAAGGGGAACACTTTAATATAAATATTAGTTTTCTGACAACATTTCCCTAAGATTATGCACAAAAAAACAGTTTCTGGACAGCTTGAGTAATTTCTTGTTGACTATTCCTACAGCTGCCTCCTCTGTTCATAAACTGTAAATCCACACATTCAGCGTGGCAATCATCCAGCTCGTTCTTTTCTCACCAGGCCTGCAGGGCACAGATGGGATCAATCTCAGTAATATAAACGATGGCTCCCAAAGCTTTCAGAGCAGCACAACAACCTTTTCCAACCTGAAACCAAACATACCATAAACAGTTAGCACCCTGGTAATGGAGTGTAACAAGAGTATGTCGTTCTTGTCAAAATATAGAGACACCATAAGTTTTGGTTTTGTCTTGATATGAGTATCTATATCACCTTTATGATTAAAATGACTGTGGTGTGTGAATATCACAGGATGGCACTCACCTCACCATATCCACATACGACCACCTGTTTGCCTCCAAACATGACATCTGTGGTTCTCTTCAAGCTAGAGAGGTTTGAGACACAAAGTTAGCTTACTCTGTATTGCTGTTTGAAATCAGGCAACTCTGTAATGATGTTCAGTAAATTGGCTCTCGGCCTACAGAGAAGATATTAGATTTTTTCAATAAAACAATTGACTTATAGCTTTTGTTGTACTGTGCTTCCATTCAGTGTTTATGAGACTGTTAATCTACTTTAAAAAAAATTCATGATCCTCAAGGAGGCTGTCCCTGACATTTGCTTAAGGACAGGACAGTGCCTTGGTGATAATTAATCTGTAGGATGAGCAACTTATCTGAAGGAGTCAGCTTGGAAAGCGCTGACATGACACAAACATATACAGACACTGTTAAAGAATAGAGCATCCATTATGCTGCCCGGGTGATAATCAACAAGATTGTAGCAGTTTGACCCTCTGGCTGTTTCTCACTGAAAACATGGTTTTGTTTTAAATGTAACAAAGGGTGTGATAACTGTTTTGCAAAGACAGGGTTGAACAAGTACTTCTCAGATTCCACTCCATCATAATTTAGGAGAAAGTATCCATGGTCGTGTAAATTCTTTCACCTTTATCAGACAGTTGTAACTTTATCGTGACCGTTTTTTCCAATACAAGGGAGATTTGTTAGTCCTTAGTCATTGTAATTCACTGCAAATTTCTTCTAATATAAGTGTGACATTGTTTTTCATTAACAGTTCCCACAGACGATAAATGATAAGTTAAGTAAACTCACCCATCCAAGATCGACTCTCTGCAGCAGTATAGGTTGTCGAATTTCTGTTTTGTCACAGAGTCATTGACATTCATGGCGGGCACACACAGTTTCCCAGCTTTGGAGAGCTGATACAGTCTGGGGACACAAACAAGGCAGGAACATGCGTCGTGTGACTACAGAAAGTATCTTAATAGGGCTCAAGTTTACTTAAAACTAACTCACCTGTGAACTCCAGTAACACTCTCCTCCACAATCCCCCGAATCTTCTTAAAGACATTGGGGTATTTCTTGTACACCCAGTGAGTCAGGTCTCCTCCATCATCAAGGATCTAAACGGTGGGGGAAAAAATAAGACACTGTCTCTTGCAGAGCGTTCAACTGTCCATTTTTACACGTCATACACAGTCAATCGGCCCCAAAAAAACAAAACTATAAACACCGGCATTTAAAAACCAACTCACCACTACTTATCACCGATCAGTTAGTTGTTTTTTTTTTAATCTTTTCATGGATATCTTAGGCAACAGTTTGCCTTTGCCTCTCATAAATTACTCTTCATGGGTACAAAACCGTCCCTCTACAAGGGCAGAAAAAAACAGTGTGCACTGACCATGTTGGGTTGCCAGCCCTCAGTGTTGACACAGCGGTCAATACACCACCAGAAGTCATCTTCAGACTCCCCCTTCCAGGCAAATACAGCCACACCTGAAAGGGTACAGATGGGTAATACCGTTGAGGAGTTTCAACAACAATCAACACAGTTATCTTTAAGACCAAGAAACTGACGAAGAGTAAATTAATGCAATGTAATTACAACCTCCTCAGCTGATGGAGTTAGTCAGCTATAATTAATCAATCCAATATAATATTACTATACTTAAGTTAAGCAAACTGGCACGACACTACATATTGTAGAGGCCAAAATCTCACGATTCCAGCTCGGGTGAAATTATACTAATAGTGGAAGTAAAAGCAAGCTGAACACCTGAGAATTAGCAGACGTTTGCACTTTTTAGGTTGTTTGCAGTTAATGAACAGCCAGTAGTAAATGGTTCAAAAGAATAAATTACAACAACGAAGCACGAGTCCTTCAGCTTTTCAGATCTCTAAAGGTCTACTGTGGAGATTTAGAGCATACTTGGACAGTCACATAGCAACTGAAGAGGGTCACCTAGAGTTACCCCTTCACCAAATGGAAATACTGATATGCTCCCATTATCTCTGCAGGGCTGAATGTGCAAGTGCTTAGCATTTCCAAACAGTAACCTTGGGTTCAGTGTCATTAAAAATGTTCAGTTAATCGTGATGTTGATGTAGTCACACATCAAATAAATCTCTGCTGCTTACCCATTTCTGACAGGGCAGCAGCGACTTCATTCTGCGTGGAGTATATGTTACATGCAGTCCATCGGCACTGAGCCCCGAGCGCCACAAGAGTCTCAATCAGCACCTGAAAATACAGAAGATCCACATTGCAGTAGCCTATTTTTTATAATAAAACATAAAGCCACAACATAACAATTAATTTAGATCCTCAGTTACATAACGCATGTACAGACAACTCATACGTGTAATCGTTGAAGACACTCGAGTTGGAAAGCTAAACAGAAGCATCCCATCTTAACCAAAAATGCTACGACACTGCAAGCCATTCCTGGGAGCGTTGAAACTCAATGTCAGAGATAAATCTTACTGCAGTCTGTGCAGTGATGTGAGTGCAGCCCACGATCTTGGCACCTGCCAACGGTTTCTCACTTTGTGCTCGCTTCCTGAGTGAGATCAGAGCTGACATGTCTAAAAGAAGATGAGAATTTTTTTTAGAGATAGATGGAAGGGTTCATAATTTCAAAGAGCTACACTTATATGACCTATACTCTGGACAGCATGGCTGAGTTAAAAGCACTCTTTCAGATAAGATATGTATTTTTGGAATTTAATCAAATAAAAACTCATCTTTATGTAAAATAGCTTAATGTAACAAAATGTCCTGCTGTATTAGTCTAATTAGACAACATTCAAGTATAAATCCTCTAATCCTTACCTTGTTCTGCTATCTCAATCTCACGTCTGCCGAATTCAGCCTGTTTGATATTTTTGACGCAGAAGTCGCTGCTGCCCTTGCTGTTGACCTGCGTTTTGTCCCGTGGTGAGGTCTCATCATCAGAGCTATCCGTATAGGATGCAGCTGGAAGGTAAAACGGTGGTATGATTGCAAGTGAAACTAATCATTCAATCCAAACTCGCCATCTCTTTTCCATCCTCTAAAGGTTCATTTGACAACAGCAAACCTATATCAGCTGAATAGGAAGAGGACCGTGTGTCTGTCTTACCAGAGCTGTAGCTGTCAGTGGATGACTGAGAGATGGAGCGGGACAGCGAGCGTCGACCTGCTTTGGTGGGGAACCTGCTGAACTCCTGCTTTTCCTCCACAAACTGAATTTGCTAAAACAGACAAAACTATCTCTGTTATTTATTCAGAGCAGGTCTAAAGCTAACTAATGCAGAAGTGGTAAAAAAAAGAAAAAGCACATCAAGTACACTTTAATCCTGAAAATGGAGTAAGAATGTTTACATTTTCATACATTCACACTTTTTTTTTAGTTTCTTTTCATCCAAATGAGTTAGATTTTTGTTGTGAATCTAACTTTTTGCCTGTTCGGCTCTTTTCTATAACAGCATAAAAACATAAGATATTGATGAGATTCATCAAGCATGACAGCAGCCTGAGAGTGCTGCAGCAATGTTATTGTCTGTCACGCTTTTAGAATCCGTTCTTTTCACTTCCTTACTGTCTTAGTTTTGTATAATCAGAGCATAATAAATCAGTCAACAAACTCCGGTCCTTATATAAGTGTCCAACTGTGACTGAGGTGTCCCTATCATGTTTTCATCTTAAAGTAATATTCAGCTACTGATACATTCAGGAGCGTGCTTAAATGCTTAAAGGCTATTACTGAAAATCCTCCACATACCAGTCAACCACATAGCAACAAGGAACAATATGAAGCTGTTCTGTAGTGACCAAAGTGACGTTACACCACATATTTCCCCTTGGAATCGGTAGTATAGGTTTCACAATCCTGAAGCCTTAATGGCCAAGGCATTTTATCTTTAGCTACTGTGGTGATTTATTTATTTGTCTGTATCAGTGATGTCCATATAAACATAAGTCCGAAAAAACTATTTTGGCTGTTTGATCACAGGTACATAATTAATCTTAAGAAGAAACATTTTGTTTTGTCCATTTCTGTGAATAGAAACCACGGTTCAAAGATGGAAGCTAATACATCTTCTACTTAATCCCTACTCCAGCTATTGGGCTGAGTTAGAAAAGAGGTCCTCAGATTAAAACATGACAGCCTGACTGACTTTTACGTCTTGGGCTGCTGAGTGTGATGGGGCTTTGCTTTTGACAGACTCCTCATCAACTAAGATATAAGAAGCATGTGTTGTCACAATCCAAACATAACGCCACACTGTTTGCACTAAGTTTAAATGTGTTGTTCATTTATTCTAGCCCAACCTGAATGAGGTGCAGAAACATTTCCCTGCTCGCAAGCCTCAAGAATTCAAGGTCGAACTCTTCCTTGTTCCTTGAAATTATCAGGTAACATCTTCCTTTACATAGAACAAATGGATCTGTTGTTTCACTTTGGTAGATGGAGGAAAGTTAATCATTTCTTTGTGGGGGGAAAAAAGTAAGGGTAAAGAAGTTTGTGTGTTTTTTAAGTGTACAAATAGAGAAGGGGTAATATGCGACACAGGTTACCACATCACCCAAGATACAACAATGATTTGGGATGTTGTGTTACATAAATAAAATTAACTGAATCCTAACATGAAGGTCTCATCTCAAATAATTTAACTTATAGTCAGAAAAGTAACATGATTAATTGATTCATCGTTGCTCATGTAGGTTCTGATAAGTGCAAACTACCATGAAATAGCATTTTTTTCTTCCAACTAGATTGGCGAAAAGAAACTAAAATAAATTATTTAAAACATTTCTTTTTTTAATCAGGGTCCTATGACTGCTGGTTTAAAATGTCCACTACGTGTAGTGGTAGAGTAACTTTAATATCCAGGGGTGATTTTGACTATATACGGAAACTAATATTTGAGGAACCTGATGCAAATGCCTGTGTTTATCTTATAAATTACATTTCCCTGCACTCTCGTGGTAAATGCTTAAATATTTAGTGTAAAAAGACTGTAGCGTTTTGTCTATGTGCTGCTGGAACTACAAGCACCGAAAAGTCGCAACTTACAAAATGAGGAAACGAAAATTAGATAATGCTGCCAAAAACAAAGTAACCTCCAGTTGACAGCGTTTACATTGCTCTATTTAGAGTAGTGTCACACGGTACAACGTCGCCGTAAACATGCAAATGTCCCCCGTGGTACCGTTAAGCAGTTCCCCTACCGTAGCAGAAGAACTCTTACCTTTTTCACTGGTTTGTGAGTGGGCACAGCGCTGAACGCCGCCGACAGCTCTCCCATGTTCATTTCGCTGTTTTTGCTCACTGTCATGGCAGAGAATTTTTCCGCAGCGTTTTCACTCTCTTTCACCTCTTTACTCGCCTGCTTCACTTCCAGCTTTGCATCCCCAGCGGGCTCTGACATGTTAACGGCGGCTCTGTAATCTTACCTGGACAGAAATACAGCAGTCGATGAGGCTGCTGGTAACGTCACAAGCTAGCGTTAACGTACTCTGCTGCTAGCTGGCTACTCTCCACAGCAGAAAACGGAAGAGAAGGTTCGAAATAACGTGCATGCAAAAATAAATACAGTAAATACAGTAAGAAAGCGACTAATAAAGTGTGTTCCCAACTTGTCAGGCGCAGATTTATGTCTCTATGTTGTCTGCTCGGCAGCGTAGGTCGGAGTCGTGTAGTTTGCCTGTTGGCTCAGCTGTCACCTGGCTGAGTAACTTTGTGGGCGGTTACCAACAGACAGCTGGGCCGTGTGATGTTCAAGGTGAGTAGGAAAATACCGAATAACACCATTTTAAACGGGTTATCTGCAATATTTTTCATCTTCTACCAAAATTGGAGAGTAAATTGATATTGTCCTACAATATTGGACAAACTCTTTCTTAAAGTAGTTAAGTAAATCTGTTTTTTCAATGACTTTCTTTTAAATGATTTCGTTGTTATCTTCCCAATTCCACACTATAAACCAACAAGTTGAAAGACACTTTATGGACAATTTCTGCACCATATTTTCTACTATCAGGAAGTAATCCAAGATGCAAATTATTGTTGGATCAAACTGTAATTTAAAAATATGGTTACAGTTTATTATCACAAAGAAGAAAATAATTTTAAAAAGACAAAACTTAAATGTTAAATATTTTGGCAGAATATTATTTTTCACCTTTAATGACATCATCCTATTGGCTACTTTTATGTATTACTTCTGAGAACATCATCAAGATCTCACTCGTAAAACCATTTTTGCTGACATATTCACAACCTGAAGAATAGGCTATTATTGGAACAGGAGCTCTGTGGCTAACTATGGGAACAGATAAAGTCTGCTTTTCTGAGTAGCAGATTAAATTTAAATAGAACTGTAAGAGCGGATTTCTGTAGGTAAGTAACTATGGTCAGTTCAGATCACAAAGACTAGTCAACACTAACAGAATCCCTTATGGAAAAGATTGGCTCAGTCCTAGTATGTGTCTGAATGACAAGAACAAATTAGTGAAGATTTCTCTCCATCATGAACACATTGGATGATCAGAGGGGAACTTAATTCAATATAATGATGAAATCCTCCTTTTAAATTTCACAGAATATTTCCAGGTGATATAAACTGTTAGATTGGTTCTCAAAGGACAGTGTACAAGAAATACTGAAAAAAGCAAGACTGGCAAGGGTATGCTCAAACAAATTCTGAAAACTGATTAGTCAAATATAAGGCTACCTGTAACCAAAAGCAGTTTGAGAGTGACTGATACTGTTAGGTGAAATGACTGAAAAATAATTATGTGGGGTCAGGTGGTGGATTTGACAAAACTTGAAACTTAAATTGAACTTTGCTTTGTTTAAAATCTTTTGCTGGGCATTGTGGACTTGAGTAGAAATCACAACCGATTATATTTCTGACAGCATATCTAATGTGGTTACAGGCCTGTTTTCAGTGTGGAAAAAAGTAATACCTTACAATAAGATCTTGAAAAAGATAAGTTAACCTTCTCAAGACAGAATTAATAATATCTTTATTTATCTGAGATCTGCATAACATTTGTCAAGATTAATTTGAAAAGTGTTATTGATTAATGTAATATTCAAACAATTTTGTTGGGACAACGAGCAGATATTCTCATCCACAAACGGAGCAATAGCGCCATGTCCTCATAGGGTGTGATTCTGTGGACAAACGTGGTATTGCACTTTCAGGTTCCTCTGTTTAATTCTCTCTGATGTTTTACGAAATTTTTTAAAATATTTAAGCAGTCTATTAGTTTGAAACTAAGAACGTAAACTATTCAAAACACCCCTTTTCGATAGGACAAACGGTTATAGGGGAGGGGGGAGGTGGAAATCTCCGCCCACCCGGACGCAGCATCCTAGTGACTACCCACACACTCAGTTTCCGTCACGCCATTTTCCGTCGACGGCTGAGAGGCTCAAGAAAGCGGGAGAGTCGTCGATCATTTGTCCTGTGAATATCAGCAAATACGGTACGTTTTTTGCAAAAGTAATCTATATATGTATGTCTTTAAGATATTAAGACAAGGTGGTGATTTTTTTTTATGTGCTTTAATCGTACTACCACATCCGCATGGCTCATTGTTTGAGCTCCATAGTTTTTAGTCGAGTGCCGCTATCTCAAAGTAGGCCTCAGACGAGGACAGCCATTTTAGCTACTCAAACAGGAATAGCCTTTTAACTATACATACAGCCGTTTTTCGAATGTAGAAGTTACATAATGGTAACTTATCGATTAAAGCTTATATTATAATTGAGAATAAAACCAGTCCTTTGTGGGCTTTTGTAACCACAAGGATAAAGTTATAGCTAGCTAACGTTAGCATTGGCTGCGTGAAACTGGGGAAATTTAGGTCACAGCCGAAGCCTGAAGGCGAGCCTGCACGTGGTTTAATATTTCTGTTGTTCTGTTGTTTTTTTAAACTGTGAGGATGTCCATTAGTACACACAGTGACTAATGCAAATGTTTAAACGGAAATTGAATGAACCGACGAAAATAAATTGGTTCCCAAGGGTTGTGCGGCTGTATTTATTAAAATGCAGCATATCACAGTCTTTAAAGTTGCTTCCCCCTTGTCTTAACATCGTCCCTGTTTTTTTTCTTCCAGACACAGCCATGCACCGTGACTGCCCCCTCGACTGCAAGGTCTATGTCGGAAATCTGGGCAACAATGGAAACAAGACAGAGTTAGAGAGGGCGTTTGGCTACTACGGACCCCTCCGCAGCGTTTGGGTGGCCCGGAACCCCCCAGGCTTTGCCTTTGTCGAATTTGAAGATCCCAGAGATGCTACGGACGCCGTACGTGAACTTGATGGAAGGTGAGTGTTGGCCCAGCGTTCTTTTTGAGGTTTACTTGGACATGTGTGGGGAAACTGGTTTGTCTTGCTAGCTTCAAAGCATAATGAGTGATTGACTTTTAGGACATTGTGTGGCTGCCGGGTGCGGGTGGAGCTGTCAAATGGCGAGAAGCGTAGTCGCACCCGAGGCGCACCCCCGTCGTGGAGCAGGCGTCCTAGAGACCGAGATGACTACAGGCGGCGCAGCCCACCGCCCAGGCGAAGGTGACCCGCATGTTATTATCTAAGGATGGCCATCGGGGATAACAGTTCTCTTGTCCCTCTTCTGTTTATACATTGGCCTCTCTTTCCCATGATATTTTTCCTGATAATTGCCTGTGGTCTTTCAGATTAGGCATTTGTAGAGTTTGTGATTTCTCTAGTGTTCCACTGACTAAGGCCTCCTGTTCCATCTTCATTGACATTAGTCATTGGGTTCAGGGAACCAAACAGGTATTCAAATCAAATATAGACACGCAAATAGGACATTCTGTGGCTGCATAGGGTTGCCTTTCTGTTAAGCATTGTCAGAAGGCATTTATATTGTACTTAGTGATGTATGGCATGCAAGACATTTTGCCTTTAGGCATCAGTGCTCCTTTAAAGTGCACATTTTTTGTGCCCACGCAGACTTGTGAGCTGTTTAACGGAGCTTAAAATAGACATGTGAAACAAGTTGAGACAGTTTCTTCTTTGGAAGAATAGCTTGTTTAAAGATTTGGGGGGATGAAAGAAAAAAAATGTGTCTTTCTTTTTTTTCTTCCTTCTTTTGTTTGAGGATGCTTTTTAATTTTCATCTATATTAATAAGAATGAAACCCGTTGCAGAGCCACCACCATGCCTCTTCTCACCACCCTCTGAGTCAGTCAACTAGTCCTCTTTCAGCATCATGTGACTGCTGATCATCGTGCCCCAATCAGCTTGGCTGGTGCTGTCACATGACCCAGGCATGGCCAGTCGTCAGGTTGCACCAGCCCATTGGTTCCTCAGCATGCCGTTCTCATCTTCCTCCTCCTTCAACCTTAAACCAAACTACAGCGGCCCACCTCACATTCCCGACCAATCAGCGTATTACGTTCCCAAAAGTCTACAACCTACCAGCAGCAGCCTTCAGCTTACCATTAAAAGCAGGAAAAAAGCCACAAGCAGCCCCCATCTGCCTGCCACCATCTGGCCAGTCCTATTCAGCCAATTCTACCTACCCGGCCGACAGTCTGCCTCCCTTTCGTCATTTCTAGCTTGTTGAAATCCAAAAATACTAGTAAGTTTTCCTGCTTCATTCAGTACACTGCTGATAACAGTTTTGAAAGTGAAGGGACAGCTGGTTTGAGAAGGTCATTCTTTAGTTCAAGCATAGGCTTTTCATTTAGTCGTCCACTATTTCTGTAGTCCGTTTCAAAGGTCCCATATCAACTATCTGGAACTTCATGTTTCCAGAGGTTTTGATATGATGGATAATAATCTGGTACGTCTTGGGGCTCTGAGTAGAACTATGTGGTCATACCATTTCCAAACTCTTAAGACCTCACCAGGACTATCAAATCCGTTCTGTTGGCTGTACATGATTTTGTGTCGAGATTTATTCCCTCTGAAAAATAGCATGGCTTTACCGTGGACCAAATTCACACGATGGCCCGTGTAAGCTTTAATTTCACAAGCGAGGGCCAGTCCACAATACAGGTTTGGCTTTTTACGAGTGGGGACAATTGCTGCTCTTTTGCTCACATTACAGAAAACCTCAGGCCCCACCGCTTTATATTCCAGACTCAAACTTGTAGTGTGTACATTTGCACATACTGTAGGGTAGGCAAGTTGGAGTTCCTAAATATCCGCCATCTGTCTGTGCTCGGCATGTTGCCAGCGCTTTCTCTGGAAAAACGGCAAGTTTTTTTTATTTTCAATTTTAAGTTACCGAATTAGACGAAGGGCTGTGCTGAGGTAGCCCAGTGTAAAAGGATGTGGAGCTGTGCAGGGTGACGAGCCCGTCTCTCTCCGCTCTTGACATTTATTTTCCTTGTGCAGATCTCCTCGCAGGCGAAGCTTCAGCCGCAGCCGAAGCAGGTATGTGAGCCCCATCCCTCTGGAAGGCAAAGATTTCAGTCATTCTACTCAATGAGCAAATGCAGTGTAGCCATTTTGAGGGCTACATTTGTGTTGCTTTCAAATGATGCATTCTTATCAAGTAATTGGACGGTGTGGCTTTTTCAGGTCTTTCTCCAGAGACAGGAGGAGGGAGAGGTCCCTCTCCCGGGACAGGAACCATAAACCTTCTAGGTCTTTTTCTCGATCAAGGAGGTACTTTTCTGCAAGATGTTTTTTTCAGAAGCTTTTCCCAGCTTGTGGTAAAAGCTGGTTTGTTCAAAGTTATGCTGCTTTAGTGGTCACTATTAACGTTTCCTCTCCCGTCCCTGTCCTCCACAGCCGCTCCAGGTCCAACGACAGAAAGTAAAGGAGATGCTGTGTTGTGAAAGGAGCAGTTTGTGAACACTTTTATGCGCTCAGCTGTTCATGATGGACTTTCACATGGACATGGCCAAGTGTTTTTTTGTTTTGTTTTTGTTTTGTTTTTTAAACAATCAAGCATTTTAGTGTCCCTCCCTTTCCTTTGTAGGGGTTGGTTTCAAAAGCATTGAGGGGGTGTGTTGAGGAATGGTGCTTGAGTGTCATACTGGGCATTGTTTGTCTCATCAGACCTGTCCGTCGCCTCACCCTGCATTCCAGAGTTGATGTCTTTGACCTTTGGTTTTGTCACTGAATGTACTCTGTAGTTTGACTTTGTAATAGTAGATCCACATTTTCTCTGTGTAGATAACGGCTTTTTTCTTTTTCTTTTTTCCCCAAAGAAAGGGATTTGGAGATGTGATTAAATTCCCCCCTCAGTGTATGTAAAACCAATTTTCCATTTGTAACTTTCGTACATCTGCTCACGGTTTGTTGGCACTCCCATTCAAGGAGCAAATTCTGGATTTGATTCCAAAAAACGTTTAATAACCAGAACTTAGATTTTTGCCTATGAAGTTTTACATTGTTTATCTTTTGTCTTTATTATGTGAACTGGTCTCTATTAAAAAAATACAGGTTGGTTGAAATTTACTCTTGCCTGTTTTTATTTCTGGATCCTGAAATTGGACATACATTTAGTCACCACTAGAGGGCACACCACCCTGGATGTGCAGTCAAACGTGGAAAAATCTGCTTCTTTTTATATAGATTGGTTTGTTCAATTAGAGGTGTTTATACTTATAAATCTCTTGACAGACATTCGATGAATTAAGTGTAGTCTTGTAAGAATCTAATGCAATATATTTTAAGTACACATTACTAGTGAACATGATCTGTTAGTGTGTTAGAGGCAGATCAGATTAGACTAACATTACTATCATGATCAGTTAACTTCAGTGTCTTCACTGACCAACGTTTGGTGTGTTCAGGGGCCGTAGGATTCCCTCCTTTAATTCTCATCTAAGTCTGCAGTTTTCCTGGGAAAGGTATGAGGCTTAAACAACAAGCTCCACGAGGTGCTGAGGAAGTGTACTGTAACAAATCTGCTCGGGCCTGCATAGAATGAGGGGAACGTTACTAAGAGCGATCCACGGTCGGCTCATTTCCTTGAATTAAATCCACAGTTGCTGCTCTTTTCCGCCGTCACGCCCATCACAGCTCCACGCTCCCGTCCGCGTGAAGCATCGTAGTCGAGACGCGACGTTCTCAAATCTGCGCGCGCTTTTCCGAGAGTTACCCGTCATGTGACATCATCCGGGCTGCGGTTTCCACGGTGACGGGGGGGATGATCACGCGGCCCGTGGGAATCCACCCAGCGAGAGGGCCGCCGTGTTTCCACCACCCACTGTTACGTAACCCTCCGCAGAGCGGGCTGCTCTGGGCCCACGGCTGTATCAGTGCGCCTTTTCAGAGGAGGTCACAGGCCGATATTACCTCTACTTCCCCATCTTAGGCCTGTTTCACAGCCCTGTTAAATCCAGGGGGTGTGTATCCCTTTAAAGTTTTTTTTTTTTTTTACTGCATTTTGACGCATCAACCTGCTACATCATTACTAGGGGTTCTGGGTATTAGTTTTTTTGTTTAAGGTTGGTTGTAGTTTGCTTTACAGTGAATGCAACACAAAGCGAGTCATCCAAACTAGTCAAACGTACAAGTTAAATCCAGAAAATGGGGTGATGGGAATAAGGGACCAAAAAAAACGTCAACACTAAATTGTGACTCATTCAATTGGGAGGCAAAAGGTAAAACTTTCAATCCTGACAGCAGCTTTCTGGTTGTGGACGGCCGTGGGATCAGCAGTCAGGTTGCTACCTTAACCTCTTTATACATGAGAGGTGTCCATTGCTAAAACGACTGTTAAAGTGATCCCATTCTGATTCAGATTCTAATCAAACTGCAGACTATCTGTTTTACAACCAAAGTGTGCAGGAATAGCTCTAGAGCAGAAGAGCCCACCCGGTAAACGATTAACTGAATGTCCATGCAAAGTCTCTGCCTCATTTGGCACCAGCTAAGACATTCACGACGGGTAGAACAAAAGCCTGATAAAAAATGAGGCGCCTAAGGAAAAAGAAAACATTTGATGGGGCTTGCAGAGCTCCTGCATACTCTGCAGCTGCCTTTGAGCCCATAGATAAGAAAGTGCCCACTCAGCTGGATAGAACAGCATCCTCTAGCTGTGTACTTCAGCGTATAAGACCCGGCAACTGTGGAGAGGAGGCAAAGCTGATTTCTTTTTGGAAAACAGCTTCAAGTTCTGTATGTTTGTATCCTGTCTGGCATCCTGTCAGAGAAGGTGTTATCAGAGCAATTAGGCCCTCTTAGGCCTAGGGAATGACTCTAGGAAAAATCTAAGGCCTTTCAATGATTTTTTTTCTTTTACCCTGCAGCTTTTTTTCTGTTAATTGTCCAGCTTTTTCATCACCTTCTGCTCCGGTCATTCAGCAGATTGCCATCCTAACTGCTGTTTGACAGGAACAGCTCTGGTTTACGTCATAATATTCCCCTGAATTTCAGTTTGGTTTCTGTTTCAGTCCATCTGTTTCCCGCTCGTGCTATTGTACTTTCACGATTCAACAAAAACGCAGAATAAGAATGTGAAAATGTAATAAATAAATACTTTTAAACAAATAATAGTTCACAGATGAAGGAACATTTAAGAAACTATATAAGACGTCAGCATATTGGGGCAGTGTGAAGAAAATTAAGATGCAATTTCTGCTAACGAGCCATATGACAACTGCCATTTTTTTATTGTTTTTTTGGTGGATCTTCACTCCTAAAATGCTCAGTGATGAACCTCAGCACGTTTTGGTTCAGTCACTGATTGTAAGAAGCAGCAACAGTTTCTGAGATGGATTAAAGGACTCTATTTGAACCTTGTGCTTAAAAAAAAAAAAACTGAGGAGGAAGCAAAAGTAAGAGGTGGTTGTGGAGCATGCTGTCATCCTTAAACTTCTGACATCAGAAACCTGAAAAGTGTTACTGAATTTCATTGTAAGGCAACCATACGTGTCTTCTTCTGTGTGTGTGTGTTGTGTGTGTGTGTGTGTGTGTGTGTATCCAGGATACTGCACCGGTTGCCGCGCTTAGTCATGCAGGCTGGGAGGGGGGAATGGGGAGGCAGTGCTGGAATTTCCTCCACTTCGGAGAGCCCAACTTTCACGTGTACTCGCGTGTTTACCGGGCAGATTCCACGTGCGGGAGGCCGCTGGCCCCGCCCCCCTCACGGGTGACCCGGACCCCGCCCACCGCAGCTCATAAAGCTCCGGACCGCGCACATGGCCCCGAGATTTCTTCAAGATTCGCTCAAGGAGAGAAGTTGTCGCTGAAGTTAGGGGGATACCTGATCCGGGGTTGAATAAAATCAGTTCCAGGCTTAATCTCTGCACAGAAAAGTGAGACAGAAAACAAAAAGGAGGTGAAAAAGCTGAGCCACAGGGGGACTTTTTCAGAAGACGGAGGCTTTTGGATTGGACTGGACTTCTTGTTGCTTAAATTGTAAGTTTTTTATAACTTAAGGTGTACTCTTAAATTCATTTTAAACTTTGACGTGTGAGTTTGGAGCTTGATCTGACACCGTGGAGCTATTTTCCCATTCATTTGATTTTCGATACCCGAATAAGGTTTATGTTTTACACAGATTCCAATGGCATTAGAGTAGTTTTTGTTGTTTTTGACATAGAAATGTGTTGTTAACATGGTCAACAGTATCTCACATCGGTGATGTGGACCAGATCTCAGTTTGACTATCTAAGGTTTGACCCATATAGCGTTCCTGACCCCTCCGGGGCCCCTCAGCGGGGTTATTTTTACACCCGTGTGTATTCCTGTTTTTCTGTGGGCGAGTCCGTCCCCAGCCAGACGGTGACAGCCCAGTCTGACCGGCCGACACGAGCTCCGGGCTCACGTGAAGCTCCGCGGTCCGGTGGGCTGGGTCCCAGACGGCCGGTTCCCGCCACAGCTTGAATGAGTCCACGTGACCCCGCCCCTTTGCCATGTGACGCCCCCATTATGGGAACGTGGGATATTTCAAATGCTTTTGACATCAAATGAGTTTTCCCGAATGTTTCTAATATTGTTTTACGGACATCGTCATGACTAATCTGATGTCAATTTTTCAATTTTCAATTAATTTTTTTTTTTTTTCAATTTCAATTGATTTCAATCAGATCTGTGACCTTTGCACTATAGGGCCCACTGTTGCATAACAGTGGGTGGGCATGTCAGACAAGATGTTCAAGTAGACTATTCACATGTATCCAACTAGTCTCTTCTTGTTGCTGCTTAATGTGTTATTTGTAGTATTAAAAACTTTCAAAGTAATGTACACACTACGGGATAGTCTCATTCAGTACACCAAAGTAAAAACCCATTCAAATCCTATTAATGGATTTTAAGCAAAAATTTTGAAATAAAGTAGTGTAAATCATCTAAAAGTTTTAGGTCTGTTGTTGCCGTTGTGCTTCACCTCTTAATTGTGAGTTTGGCAGAGAATGAATGAACAGCAGCTCTTGTAAACGTGCCACAAATTGTGATCTCACTTCTGATTTGCTTGCACCAGAGGGCAAGTCAGATTGTGCTACTAGACCTGTTGCACCAGATCTATCGCCACATGTGTTCAACTATTCTGTACACACACTGCCGAGGCACCGCGCAGAACGGTGCCTGTAGGGCTTTTGCTCAATACAGTCTAGTCAAACCAAATAGCCTCCAAACAGCAGAGAGAAATGTCTCTCATCTGCATCCTCGCGTTACGATGGCTGGGACTGGACCTGGTTTCATCATTGTTCCCTGTGAAGAAAATATCAGGAGAATAATGATGCACAGTCACAGAAAAGTGTTGAACTTCCATGCTTGCGTGGTTCAATACGAGAGCTGCTCTGTTTTATTGACAAAAGGGGATTTTAAGCCACCGAGCTTGATTTTTCTTTCATGAAGGACCTCACCCTGAGTGCTGGCGGGGCTCTGGGCCTTCTCTGGGATGGTCAGACACTGCCCACTGGTGGTGACTCTGAGGGCTTGCAGTGACCTCCTGCCTGAGACTTGCCCTCACATGTCTCACAGAGATTATGTCCGGGCATGTACCAGTGACTCACACAGGAGGGCTCAGTGGGGCGGTTTGTGCTCTATAAAGGGCTGCAGCAGCTCTGCCTGTTCACTGAGGAGGGTTTGAACTGACGGGAACAATGGTGAGCTGGATTTGAACTTCATTGTTGAGGCAGATGGAGAATACCGGAGATGTGTGTTTTGTTTAGTTTCGGTACTGATTACAGTGAAGATTTTCCTTATTTCTAGAGAAACATTTGCTTTAAGATTCTGCTCAATTTGTGGCCACTTGGTAGAAATGACTACGTGGAAAGTCTGTGTTGTGTCTTTGCAGCTCAACTGGACAAACTGAAGCAGCTTTTCTGACTGTTTGGTCCTCTTTGAGAAAACGACATCTGTTAACGGAGGATTGTTATTTTGGGAGCAGCTTTCCAAACTAACCGGAGTCCCCCTCTCTGTTTCACCCTTAGTGCAGAGTGATGGCTTCTTACAAGCGGATCCTGAGCGGCCTCAGGACCAACAGGCCTGCCCGAAGGAGCCTGTTTGGCCGGGTGGACAGAGAGCAGCTGCAGGCGGAGTACCGGGCGGCCCTGCGGAAAGACCTGGAGGAGGCCTCGCACCGCTGGGGCTTCGACTTCATCTCAGACACGCCTCTGGAGAGCAGCCATTTCCAATGGGAGCGCATCCCAGGCGCCGGGGTGCCTCAGCTCTACAGGTCCTGCACGCATGGAGCCGGACAGCCCGAGGGTAAGACGGCAGGGGACGCCACAGTCGCTCCCAAAGGACGGAGGGTGGGGTCCCCACAGAAGGAGAAGGAGAACATCCCTCGTACACCAAAGAGATGCGCGCTCAACCTGGAGAGCTTGGAGAAAACGCCAGAGAAGGGAGAAAACTGCGGCCTTAAGAGGAAACAGACAAACATCACAGGTGTGTATGCGTGTGTGTGTGTGTATTTATTCTGTGAGTGGACTTGTCACTTCTTCTTTTAGCATTTTCGCTTAATCTGAGTATCCTCTTTTTTTAAATCCCTACAGATTTCTATCAGGCTAAGAGGAGAGTAGTCTTGATGCCGCGGAAATCCGGCCAGTGACGTTCGCTCCAAGCGTGTCGATTTTTTTTTTTTTTTTTCTCCCAGAGAACCACACAAAGACTGCCTCGATCAGGATTCCCATGTTGCACAGAGACTCTCAGCAGGATGTGGTGTTCCGTGCATCACCACAATAAGGCTAATCAGGGTGTGCTGTATGTTCGGGGCCTGGAGCTTTCCCAAGCTGTAAGAAGGGGACATTTAAGCAGAGAAGATTACAAATAATCCCTGGTAGCATTGGATTTCTACTCATTTGGATCAAGGGGGTGATAAAGTGAGGCTGGACATTTTCTACTGGACATTCCACTGCACTTAAAACCCAGCTCTGTGGTAACTCTACCTCTTCCAGAACACAGACAAGATGAATGAAAATAGCCATATCTGGTGTTTTTTTGTTTTAATGATTACAGTCATATAGTGGCTGCTCGCTGTCACATAACTAACAAAGGGCTTATCCTCCTTTGTTCAAATCCATTTCTGTTTTTCTACAGTGTTTTGACTCTGTGTGTATCAAGGGCTAGGAGTATTATGCTTTATTTACCCTGGTGTACTCACAGGAGAGCGCTCTGTGAGTTCTGACATCTTAAATTTGCATTTGCTTTGCTTACAATATGAGCGACAGAAGTGCCAACACATCCTTTTCCATCCTTTTACTCTACTTACTCCACAGCTTCCCTGCCCAGAGGACATACCAACGGCACCAGATCATGAAAGTTATGTGTGTTGCATCACTTCCACTCACCATTTATACGTAGAAAAATTAAAAGATATGTATATACACAGTAGTAGATAGATCTGAAATGTATTATTTGCAGAGTTTAACATAGCATTATTATGTAGTTTATTCATAAGAACATTGCAACGTTGCACATCCATGTGATTCTGGTGTTTACTGGGAACAGCAGAGTGCCATTGAGGCCTACGAGGTTTTTAGCTTTTTATGCTCTGTGTGGGACAATCAGAAGAGTGTTCTCAGAAGCAAGAGTATTTTGTACTCTACTGTTCTCACACACTACATTGTTTTCTACGCGGGAGCACATTGCAATGTATTAGGCAAAATGTACGTTGGTTCAGGACATTTGTGTCCGTTTCTAGGAAATCCTGGCAAATCCTGTCAGACAAGGTCACTGTAATGCTAATCCTTTACATATTGACAGCTTCTAAATGCTTGCTGCAGCTAAAGAAAAGCTAAAAAGCTACACCATGTAATAAATGCACTTCTGTTAATAGATGCTTGGGCACAAATCCTGTTAAAAAAATTATAAATTAATGTATCCTTATTTATTATGAGATGCCATTCCTCGTGTTAATTTAGAATGTGTTTAATTATGAAATATCAATTTCAATAAAATTCCAAAACAATCTGTCTGTGTCGTCATGTGTCTCTCCTCCAGTTTTTTGCTAAAATGTAGGTATAAACAAGGTTTTGGAGGATTTTTAAAACGGTAAAGGGACGCCTGCTTTTCCCCGAGACAGAAAGTCGAACCCATCTTAGTCAAAAGGTTGTAAAAGCTTGTAATTTTTAGTTTACCTTTCCATTAAGTCTTGACCAATCAAAAGACAACATCCCAGTTTTCTTCAGTGTTTGCCAGAAAATGTTTTAGTTTTGGAACGGATCAACTAAAAAAGATACAAATTTCACATAAACAAAAATGAATAAATTATATCAAGTATCAATATCAATAAAGAAGATGTATTGGTAAGTAAAATGATTTTCAGATGTTGGTGTACTTACGGTGATACATGATAGTCAAAAACTCCTGCAGTTCTACCTTCGGCCATAAAAACTCATTCAAGCCCGTGTGCTTTGAACTGGAAAAGTTCTGGTTATTTTTCACTGACTGACTTTTTTTTCCCAAATAATTTATAGTACGGCTTCAACTCCATTATCTTTTAATCATTTATATCTCTACTTAAGCGGATCGTTTCAGGACATGGAGTGACCCCCTCAGCTCTCAGACTTCAGCTCCTTTCCAGGTCTGCTCTGTCTCTACAATGTCCCATTGTAACGTCACTTCACCTCATTTCATCTCAGTGATGAGCTGGCTTTCAGACATAAGGGGAAGATGGCGGAGTGGGTTTATCCAAGGCTACCGCAGAAGACAAGGTCTTTTTATAACATTTATGTGTTCAGGGTGGGGTTGGCGTTTCCTTGCCTGGAAAACTACCGCTTTGCATCATGGAGCCATCATGTTAGTCATGAGAATAAAAATATAAAAATCCTGTGCAGAGAATCAACAAAATCGGCTCAATGAAATGTAACTCTCGGAATTGTAACATGCTGTAAGAAACCATCTTCTAATGGGAAAATGCAAATATTTCTGAAATTAACCGCTTTCAAACTGATTGATGAGGTGCAAACATTTCTGTCCTTGTGCGCCCCCGTTTGGTCTTTTATGGCTGTCGCTTCAACTGTTTCAGAGTTTGCCCTGAAAACTATGAAAGCCTCTCTTTTTTTATTTTTTTTTATCTCCATTTGATAGATATATCAGCAGAAAAACACTCTCTGGCACACAACTTAGCGAAAAACACACCTAAAGTTGGGTGAATTAAATTTCCAGAAGTGTGGAGCTGTTGGCGGGGGCCCCTTTGCTGTTGTGACACTGCCTCCTTTCATCTTTTGTGCAGAAGGCAGGCCGGGGGGGGGGGGGGGGGGCTGCTCGGAGTTGCTGTGTGCTTTGGCAGCCGATCACTGCGGCCCCACAGCAGCGCATGCCGGCCGCCTGTGTTTGCATTGAGGGTTTAGGGGAAGAAGAGCCTGGAGCCCTTCCCTCTCTCCCCCCCTCCCTCTCCCTCTCCGGCCTCAGTCGCACAGGAGCACCTGCACGCCTGCGCTGAGCTCTCCCATCCCCCCCTCCCATTCCCCTCCATCATCTGTCCCTCAGCTCCCACATCCATTACAGGGCAGCGCTGCTAGCATTTGCATGTCGACCGAGGGAGAGATACGGAGGGAGAGCAGGGGAGAGATTGTGGGAGAGTGAAGCGGGAGGAGGCGGAGGGGAACGTATGACACAAAGAAGAGAGAGCGAAAGGGAGGAAAAGAGATCAGAGAGCGTTAAAGGAGAGGGAAGGCTGGAAATGTCGATGGCATTAGCAATGGAGCACTAGAGAGGCGATAGTCCGCTAGACAGCGGCCGGGGGTGCAGACATTTTAGGAGGGGGGGGGGGGGGGCTCCTCCTTGGTGAGCATAGGGTGTAGGAGGAGGAGGAGGAGGGAGCTGGAGAAGGAGGAGGTGGAGGTGGAGGAGGATGGGCCTCGAACACAGACTTGCAATGGCACTGCAAAAATTGGATTAAAGCAGTATGGTAACGTTTCTGATTTCATTTATTGCTGTGCTGCCTGTGTGTCATCTCCATGCGCTCCATCGGCCATCTCTCATGTCACAGCGTGTGTCCAGTCGAGTGAATAGGGCTCAGGCATCGCTCTGTCTCCTCATCCTCATGCCCACCACATCTGACATCCCCATGCTCATCCCAGCCCTGCGTCTCCTCTGGCCACAGAGACCCTCCATTCCCCGTCAACATGTGCTTTAGTAGGACATCTTTGGCTGTCAGCACAGCCTCTGCCGCCTGCTTCGCTCTGTTGTTTTTCGTTATCTGTTTACCACCCATCTACGCTGGACCCCCGAGCCCCAAATGGTAGACCGAGCCCATTGCTTTGCCACGGCAGAAGCATCTCACCTTCTATGGCCAGATATATAAAAAAGGAGATTAATCACGGGGGAGTGCAGTTATGTTTCTTGCACCCCGTTTTACTGCATGACTTTTGCTGCTTTCTGGAGGTGGGGTGGGGGGGGGGGGGGGGGTCCCTGCATGTTTAATGTAGCTGTGGTGGACGTGGACATGAGCACACGGAGCATGTGCTCATGTCCTACAGTCACGCAAACAGTACGCATATAAATCCTCCCGAGAGAAATGAGAGCAGCGCCGTGAGATGTTTTGGTGTCGTGTGTCCGTCTCAGCTCATGTTTGCGGCGTCTGATTACAGTGTTTTGACGTCAGGCAGAGGGTCATTAACAATCCCCCCATCTGTCAAGTTGTGCATCGCCTGCAGATATAACTCTGACCCCGGGAATCCCCTCGTGGATCAATGATCTGTCAGAACAGGTTTAATTCTTTAATAGGATTACATCCTCATCCATTTGGAAAATGCAAAGGTTTATGCCAGAATGATCCAGAAACCTATAGATATACATAGATGCTGAGAATCCTCTAGCATAGTCATCAGTAACCCATTCTTATGATTCCATATACAATAGTCCACTCAATTAATTCTAAAAATGTACCTGATGTATTTTAAACGCAGGCTGCTTTGTAATGACCGGTTAGTAGGCTCAGGGTCTGAGGCTGTGCAGAAAAGGAAGCAGAGTAATTATGTATCATCTAATTAATGCAGGATGGCCACTCTGAATGCTCTCTGATCTATCCACCAAAACATTTATACATCTCTCTCCTCAGTGGAGGACATAAACAGATTTGAGCTACTTCCTTTTCAGACAGTTGACTAGAATACTCAGCAATCTTCTTGATTTCCCTGTTTTAATAAATAAAGTTTACACTGTACGCAGAACTCGAAAGCTAAACATAGAAATTCAGTCTAAATAACTTCCATTTTCCTTTATCGAGTAATCCAACAGTTTCTAAGAAATCGGTGACTATGGCTACTCCCACCCGCAGTCCACATTGCTGTTCCTGCTAATAGAAAAGCAAAGAAAAGACAATCTCCTTTCCAGCTGGCATAAAGTAAATGGTCATTAACAGCTGTAGCAGCTCTGCCATCGTTTGGCTCTAATTCTGAAGATTTTCTGGAACTTGTAAGAACTTCTCCAGTTCTGTGAGATTTTGGGGTCATTTTGCATGAATTGCTTATCATCATTTGTGATGATGGCAAAAATATTCACCTTGAGGCAGTCCATTGTGGATCCTCTGCTGTGTTCCATTGTGGTGTGGTGGCCACTGTGTGAGGTCTGCTTCCGCTATTCTCTGGCGTTGAGCTGAACTTATTCCTTCGATCAGTGAAATGATCTCCATGCCGCTGGCAGCAGCACAAGCCCGAAGCACAACTAACCCACTACTGTGTTTACCAGCTGGAGAGGAACTGTTTTTTTTTCAGAAAAGTCTGCCCTATTTGATCTGTAACGTATGTGTGCTCATAACTGCATTGTCAGCCTATAGGATTAGGTGTAAAATATGGCAGGTGTGCGTGTGCGTGCACGGGCTGTTGGGTATTCCCAAAAGGCTTTTTTCAGTCATATGGGGATTTTAACATGCAAATCTATGAAATGTAGGTGCATTTCTCTGAGAAAGTCTTGGTTTTCCAGACCTTATCTTGACCTCCATCGCTCTGGTTAGCTGTAATTTCCTAATTCCATTACAAACTAAGGAAATGAGCTCCAGAAGATGCTCCTCTATTGCTGTGTAGACATTAATTATTTCTATGTTCAGATGACTGCTTAGAGGAGTCCATCGCTGCCGATTGCCGGGACAAGGTTTGAGGAGTCAGATTATCCATACAGCTTTGAAATTAGCATCAGCTGGTCTTTTCTGACAGTGACTGAGAACAATCCATAATCCTGACAGGAAAATTAAGAAAGACTGTGGTAAGTTTTCAGCCATTTCCAGTACATTGTCATTGGTGTTCCTTTTCTTTTCTGAAACAGTGTACTTCTTTTGGTAAAGTATGTGTTTCATCTGAAATTTCCCGTCTTTTGGAGATCGGCTACTGATTGACCTGTTTTACAGTCTCAGTAATTTTGACCAGGGGAAGGCCAAACTTACTACTGTTGAAACGATTTTTGGAAAAAAAATCAATGACCGCACAGATAAGATCCATCATTCAGCGTTGGCATTAACTCCTTTTTTTTCGACCCCACTGGTTTCTACCATGTTAACCACTAACATTTGAGTGCATTTCAGCCATCTTTTCTCTGCTTGAATAAACTGACGCAACCCTTCCCTGCCGACTTGTCCCCCTCAGCTGGACAAGAGCGAGGTAGCCACCCTCGGCCTACCCTCCACCACCAGCCATGGGGGCTCTGACAGCAACATCAGTGTGGATGGAGCGGGGGCAGCTTCGTCGGGGGTGGTGGCCGGGGGAGCGGAGGGCACGGGGGCTGGGGAGCCGCAGCGGACGCGCGCCGCTCTGGAGCACCTGCAGCAGAAGATCCTGAAGGTGACGGAGCAGATCCGCGTGGAGCAGGAGGCCCGCGACGACAACGTGGCCGAGTACCTGAAGTTGGCCCACAACGCCGACAAGCAGCAGGCGTCCCGAATCAAGCAGGTGTTCGAGAAGAAGAACCAGAAGTCTGCGCAGACCATCGCACACTTGCACAAAAAGCTAGAGCACTATCACAAGAAGCTAAAGGAGATCGAGCAGGTGAGTGAGAGAGAGGATGCCGGCTCTCAGCGGAGCTGCTTCAATGTGACTGATCTCGCGAGTGTCTCTAGCTCCATCTGTGTCTAAATATAGACTGATGATTCTCCAAACACCACTTTAAACCGTTGCATCACCCTGTGTCTCACCCGATTCTCTATGGGGCCTGCTTTTCCTCGTCCGTCTCCCTACAGTTTTGCCCCCTAAACATAAGCACTTCTACCCTCCCTCTGAGATCCTCTGCTTCTCTGCTTCCTCCTGTCTCGTTCCTCTCCGCAGAATGGACCGGCCCGGCAGCCCAAGGATGTCCTGCGGGACATGCAGCAAGGCCTGAAGGATGTGGGAGCCAACGTTCGTGCGGGGATAAGCGGTTTCGGGGGTGGCGTCGTCGAAGGGGTCAAGGGCGGGGTGTCGGCGCTCACCCACACGGCCGTGGTCTCCAAGCCCCGAGAGTTCGCCAGCCTCATCAGGAACAAGTTCGGCAGCGCGGATAACATTGCCCACCTGAAGGACACGCTCGAGGACGGAGTCGGGGGCCACTCCGAGGACGCCCCCACGCCCCGCGCCCTGAGCGGAAGCGCCACTTTGGTCTCCAGTCCAAAGTACGGCAGCGACGACGAGTGCTCCAGCGCGACGTCGGGATCCGGAGCGGGCAGCAACTCTGGTGGCGCCGGGGGAGGAGTGGGGCTACTAGGACCGACCATGGGGAGTCCCCGGCTGGACGGGCATCACCACCACCACCATCACATGCACAGCTCGTGGGACTCGCTACTCGAGGGGTTGCAGGAGATCAAAGCAAGCCAAACACACATGGAGGATGCCATCGAGGACATGAAGGGCCAGCTGCAGAGCGACTACTCCTACATGACGCAGTGCCTGCAGGAGGAGAGATACAGGTAGAGCTCCCACTCACAGCCACGCTCAGCAGCCGTAGGAACTTCTGGTTTGCCAGTACAGTGAAGCCATGCTGAAGAGATAAGACTGTCAGCGTCCCAGATTTACGTTTTATCAACAAATCCTGAAGGATGAAATCCAACAGAGCACTGTTCTTAATACCACCACATCCATTTTGCAGATTTAAGTATCAATTTGTTCTTAGAAAATATGAAAATCTTTTAAAGTCAAGCACTCATATACTATTAGATTTAAAAGAAAAAGATTATTTCTGTGAATGGCATGGCACAGTTTTTCTCTCGAATAGAGCAGTTGATGAGGAATTTCAGCCCTGGATTAATATATATTTAGTATTCAAGGCAGAGAGGGTTTAAGAATCAGTGCAAAAATAGCAAAAGATCAGCATCCATCCTCATTATGATGACTATCTCCCAGTGCAAGAATCAATTTCACTGATCAGCCCCCCCATCCCTTCATCTTATGCAGGAATTAGAAGTGTGTGCTATGCTGAATGTGCAGGTATGAGCGACTTGAAGAGCAGCTGAATGACTTAACAGAGCTGCACCAGAATGAAATGACCAACCTGAAACAGGAGCTTGCCAGCATGGAGGAAAAGGTGGCTTACCAGTCCTACGAGAGAGCAAGAGACATCCAGGTAGGATTACTGCAGAGCTAAAGCACACGTGAACTATTTTGTACAGACAAAAATTCTGTTTTGAATGCTATTCACACAATCGATGAAATTAAAAATTGCTTCGGTTTCAGGCTAATAAAAAAGTGCAAAAGTTGAAGCTGTTACTTTGATACTATCCACTGGTCTGGGGTAGCTTTTTGTAAATCTTTGAATCCCACCATGTAACATTTGGGAAAAATGGGGTATAACACAAATACTTTTAGAGCTTGCTAGCTTGGTTTTATTTAGAAAAATGCGACATTATGAAGGGCCGGTCAAACTATGTGAAAATAAATCCTTTTTTTAAAAACTTTTTTGTTTTGACTGAGCACTCTAACTGTAATTGACTACAGACCACGAAGACCAAGAACAATTAATGAATGCATTTTCTTTAACATACCTAAATGTACTAATGGCTCCTTACGGTGTGGTCTGTGCTTGTGTGGGTTTTGTGCTGGTGCGTACAGGAAGCTGTGGAGTCGTGCTTGACCCGCATCACTAAACTGGAGCTTCAGCAGCAGCAGCAGCAGGTGGTGCAGCTGGAGGGGGTGGAGAACGCCAATGCTCGAGCTCTGCTGGGAAAACTCATCAACGTCATCCTGGCGCTAATGGCTGTGCTGCTGGTCTTTGTTTCCACTTTAGCCAACTTCATCACGCCGCTGATGAAGACTCGGAGCCGCGTGGCTGCCACAGTGCTGCTGGCCCTGCTGCTCTTCGTCCTGTGGAAGCAGTGGGACTTTGTGGAGCTGTGGCTGCTGCCCGGCTAAATGAAAAATCAGGAAAAAGACTTAAAGGAGGGACCAGGGCAGAGAGACGCGAGCGTGTCTCTGGACAGTCACCACCAATGGAAGAGGCCCACGGTCTGAAAACAGAAAGAATTAAGGCACTTTTGGTTCAGGAGGAGACGGGTCCACAGGGGTTTACAGAGCAAAGGAACAGAACTTCTCAGCTTGCCAAGCAACAAAGGACATATCCCCATCCCACCCAAATCTGCTGGTGTGGATGTCCAGTTAATTTATTGCATCGCTATCACCAAAAACTTTCTCTCTTGCAAGAATTCTCTGGATGGTCTTTTTTCTAAATATTTATGATACATGTATAACGAACACTTAAAGCAACTTCTGAGGACTGTCAAACGCTGGTCACGTTCGCTGTAATCTTCATGTTGAAGCTATAGCAAATGAGAGGAAGAACCTTGTTTTCATGAATGTCATGTGCTCATGCATGTCCCCACATGTGCACTAAGATGCATGGGTTTACATTTCATTAACGACCAAACCGAGTCTTCTATAACTGCCATTCATTTTGTGGTCAGGGCCGCGGATACGTTACGATTCCACTTAGTGTCGTTCCTCGTCGGTTTCACACCCTGCTCTGCTGAGGGAGCAGCGCTTCGGAGCTTTTCTTGTTTTGCTCAATGAACAGTTCAAAACAGTGTTTGCTAAATGTCATAACAACGTAAAAAAAATTCCATCAATAAACTACTGACGGAATTTTGTATTATTATTGTAGAACAACTACTAACCACAGTCAAACTGACGGGCATGTCAAGGTTTATATCCAGTTTGCAAAAAGAAAACAGAAAAAAACAATGTTATTGCTGTTTTATTAAACAATGTAAGAAATAAATTATTTCATATATTAGGCTGACTTGGGTTTTATCCTCATCATCTTTCTTGCTTTTTAGCTCTCGTAATGAGTGACAAGATAAATATTGTATTTGTCAGAATGAAGTCACTAACAACTAGCAGGCAGCTAACTTTGAGTTACTCTCTTTAGAAGATCTGAACCCAGCTAGTTTAAGAGACCACAAAGTATTAACTGCAATTACGTGGCTATCCAATTAATAATTGTGATGATTGCTTGTATTGTATAGACTTTCATAAGATCTTAATGTTTTATAGTGAAAAATCTGATCAAAGTTACTCAGTCCTACAGAGTAAACAAGTAACAGTGACTTAATGCTAACTGATGTGTGACGCTGCTGCTGTCACGTTGGTCCTGAGCTGTTAGTTTTGACTGGAGTGACAGAGTGCTGGGTCTGCAGGTGGCTTTTCAGGGTCCCTCTTCTCACAGGACTTCAGTTCTGCCTCTTATGTCATTTCCGTTAAGCTGAATGAGCTTTAAACTAACATTTAACATTTTAAGTTTAAGGAAGTTATCAGCATTAATAAACAAAAAATGACATCAACAAATGCTTCAAATTCAATTTGTCTTTTTAATAATTACTGTCAGGCAAAACCCTTACGAACGATACATTTATGACAGGTATTCTTACAGTACAAGACAGAACTCAAGGGGATCAGGGCCTGTGGCATGGCCACACCTGACCTCTATAAAGTAAGACATTCATCGTCATTAGATTGTTCCAACTTTCACAGAGTTCACAAATGTATTTTGCATTTGACTCGTATCAAACACAACAGTTGTCTTGATTACCTAGCAAATTCTAAAGACCTTGATAGAAACAGCAGAGTAGAAAAAAACATTGTATAACAAGCAGAAGAATTCCTGATTTTATCTTGATTTCCTGTCAACATGATGGATGAACAATATATTGCTTTCAGGTGCTCAACTTAAAATGGGTACTCCACGTTGCCCAAAAAAACATTCTTCGGCCTCTTCTCTCGCCCTTTTTAATTTTCTTTTTTTAAACTAATTTCTCATCTCCTGTAGGTCAGACAGAGGTAAGGCGCCTCTGACCGCACCACACAGCGGTCCTACTGCTAAACCAAAGGAGGAGCCGCCATTTCAAGAAGCCACAGGAGCCAAATGTACAGTAGGACCAACAGCCCCTCCATAAAAGTGCAGCTTTCCCATCATTCATCATCAATCATGTTTGAATCTTGAACTTCTTGCCTTTTTTATAGAACTGAAGCAGAGTGACTACAAACAAAACAGAACAAAAACTAGTTATGTTCACTGAGAGTCTTGAGCCTAAGACACAGTATTCAGTCACAGCAGTACATTTGAGGAGAGGAAAAGATGAGATACAAATGACACAGGGATGAGTATTAAAAGGTTCCATAACTGACATTTTACAATAATTAAAAAGGCTGAACTGGAGGCAACACAGACTTTGGACTTGAGTTTGATGACTATTCCTCCTGGATGTGTGATTATCCTGGAGTATGCACCTCTTTAATATCTAGCGCACTTGGATCAAATGCATTCCAAACTCCAGAATCAGTGTTGCCTTATCGTGTAAAATGTTGTCTCAGGAGAGTGCCTGGTTGTTTAAAGACTCAACAGACATGAGCCTGATTGTGGTTCAAAATCATGGACACACGAGTCGGTGTTCAGCAGGACAAAGTCAGACCTGAAACCCACAGTCGTCAGGTCATAAACCCATAAACTGGCCCTACAAACCTGTGGCCTCATTCAGGAAAAAGGATTCTGTATCCTTCTGTAGATAGGATCACACATAATCCAGCTTTTGGATCACTATTCAAGTTTGTGTTCCGTTTAGCACGGCACAATGACTCACCGTCATTATCTTTATCTGGATAATAATGCTAAATTTTTTCTCCCCAACTCATGATTGTGGCTTTCCCTCTGCCCTCACTGCTCTTTTTTCCCCCCTTAAATCAGCAGATCCTTTCAAAGTGATGACATCTGGGAAAAACATCAGACAACATTTTTCAGAAATGCAGCCCTCAGTTGCTCGGTACAAATCAACATCACAGCAAGACAGGTACCTAGGCAGACCTCTGGGTATAGAAGAGAATGTAGGCCTGAGTGTTGCACACTTCCTCCACACTGCACACCTTCATCTCAGAGTCGTTACAGTGGACCCAGAACCCTGAGCGAAAGAGAGAAAAATGAGAGTGTGAAACGTGCCCGCGGTGGATGGCGGCGCCTCGGCGGCGGGCTCCGCCCCCTGCTCACCTCCCTCTGTGTTGTAGCAGTATGCGGTGTAGTGCCCTGAGCCGAAGCCTTTGCCATGATGCATAACCACAGCGGACAGGTCGTAGGTGAAGCCTCCTCTGTGGACAGAGTGACCTGAGTCTGTGCAGCAGTACGGTCTGATGTTCAGAACTTGGTCAAAGGCCACGTGGACGCCGATTTTCTCCCTATGGTTCCGCCCCGACCATCTGCCGGAAAACAGGGGCCGGTTAGTGATGCAGCGACGCCCATCTAAAGTATCACACTCCTTCACTTTATGGACGCACGCCATCGGGAATTCTATTTCATTGCAGCGTGAATGAGGACATTCCACCTAGTTTTCGGGATGTGAACAGAAAAGCCGCGCGATGGGCCGGGGAGGAACTTGCCTGAAGCGTTTGAGGTGCAGCCGTAGAACCTGAGGTAAACGGTAGATCAGAAGCTGTTTACGCGCCTCTGACAGAACCAGGGGTTTGTGGGAGGATTTCCGTCTTCTTTCTGCAGAAAAGGAAAGAGCGTGATGGCAGTCCGGTGTCTGTCAGGCCGCAGTTCTCTGCTCAGGCCAGCAGCGGGTTGCTGCCCCCCCCTTTCTGCTCTGCCACTAAAGATCTGTGTGGCACTTCCACACAGTAACAGTGCTTTTTGTTTGTCCTCTGCTGCTCTTCTTTCTACTGGTGCACAGTCTCCTCCAAAGGCTCAAACTCACTTCCCTGCTAGGGTGTGACAGGTTTAGTTAAGGTCAGCTGGAGACAGCACAGTGAGGAAGGAGCCTTCGGTCAACAACTTGGTTTCAAGGAGCCGGACAAGGAATAACAAGTCCGTTCTGAGTTCAGCCTTTGGTTAAGCAAAGACTGTATACAAAATAGTGCTTTTTTCCTCACAGACACCATAAAAAATTGAACAACGGAAACTTAAAACCCCATGAGAACGTAAATCTTTGCCTTTCCTATAAAACAACTGGAGCTGCTCTCACATTAATCAGATAAATCATTGTCTGCCTGAGCCATTTACAGCTAACTTTAGATTCTGATCAGGTTATAAGCGATAACAAATGACACATGCATGGTTTCTGTGCTCACTGTTGCAGTGGTTGCAGGCGTAGATGCTGCCTTCAAGCGCCTCCATCTCTGTAAACTTGGACAGCATCTCTGTGAGGGTGCAGCTACGCTGGTACGCTGTAGAGCCCAGGCCTTTGTCTGTGCAGTGGTATCGCTCTGGAAACTCCAAGGACAAATCCCAGAATGGCTCTACTGTGTTGGACTTGTGCTTGCAAGACAGGCATGTCACCTGCCAAATACAGATGGGGGGAACAAGACGAATCAGGAGACGCATTCTGATTGCTTTGGTTTCAGAAATGAGGCTGGTAACTAAAAACAAAGCAAAGAGACTGAAAATGCCACAAAAACCACAAGCATTGCATTACTATGACTAAATCATTTCATAATCCAATTACTGAGTCACAGTGGTGACACACTTTGGCCTAAATGTCACACGCCCTAACCATAAATCCACTGGGTCCCCCCTCCAGATTCTAATTGATTATTTGAGACAAGGGTAATAAGTCATTTTCAAAATCCTTAAGTTTCATTGTCCACAATCGCAGCTCTATCTTTAGGAAACAATGCCAAAAAGGAATGGGCTGTTTTCATCCCCAGTGGCCCCTGTTCATCCCCGGTTAAAGCAACGGTGGGCCTCACCTGGCTGAGTAGCTGCCCGTGAAAGATGGTGTTAAGAACCTTTAGCACTTGCTTGGACAGTTTTCTCTTTGTGATGGGGATGACTATCCTGCGTTTGGACCCCTCGGTGTCCAGCTCCTGCTGCACCTTGTCCAGCAGCTCACACAGGAACTCCTGGGCGTCCTGCTGGTCATAGCCGCGGAAAGCTGGGATGAGGTTCCACACGGAGTGCAGCATGGCGAAGGGAGACACCAAAGACCAGCGGCCTGACCACATGACCCTGAAAAGCGTATGCAACTCGTGGCAGAGGGACATCTGCTGCCGGGTGGAGCAGCGGGGCTCCTTGGGCTGGACCAGTTCTGCAGCTTGTGGGGACGGAGGGACACTTTCCTTTTTGCCCACGGGCAAGTTCCAACAGCCCGTCTTGCCCATGCGTCCGAGCGGGCCCTCTGACAGCGCTGTGTTGCCACTGGTGACGACCCCCCCCGCCATGCCCTTCACCCCCTGGGAGTGCTTGGTCTTGGCTAACAGCTCCTCAGTCTCGCACAGATCCAAAGTGAGGAAACACTCCCTGAATTTCTGCAGGTGGCTCAGCACTTGCAGTATTGAGTTCATGTAGCACGTGTTCCCCAGGTTGCGCAGGCCGGTGACGCCCGGGGGTCTCCGCCGCGTGACCGCGTGCGTGGAGTAGTACCGCCTCAGCTTAGCCGCTCTGCCATTCTGAGGAGCTCTGCGGGACAGGGTGAGCAGTGAAGGCTTCTTGGGAGGAGGAGGAGGAGGAGGTAGGCGTTCTGGAGGGTCGCGGAATTTGCGAGGAATGAGCGTGATGGTTGAACGTGGCGCCTGAGTAAGAAGCCGAGCACTCTTTCTGGGAGGGACGCTGCCCAGCTCCTCCATGAGCCGCCTTTTGACCTCCTTCTTCTGTCTCCTCTCTTCCTCCAGTTTCTCTTTACGCTGATTCTGAAGCTGCTGATGTTTGCCCATCCACGCTCGGAGCATCTTCCCCAGGAGGGCTTTCCTCCTGTGGCGCAGGGCCAGCTGCATGGCAGGCTGCGGTCCTCCGTCCCCGACCCAGGGGCTGCAACCCCCCCAGGCTGAGGAGCGAAGCGAGCGCCTGCCCGGACACCGCACAGTAGAGAGCGCCCCTCGGAGGAGTTTGAGGTCTCCTTCTGCATTATCATTGAGTACATAGTCTCCACAGGCAAAGCAGAAGACATCCATCTCACGCACCTCCATGGCCAGTGGGTGGTGTGACTCCTGAAAGTGTTTGAGCGAGTGCTCCTCCATGAAATGTCCACAGGCCACGTGGGAGCACTTGAGGCAGGCCCACACTGAATCGGTGGTGTTGCAGTCCACGCAGTGCCATTTCTGTGGATTCAGGATGGAATGGTCCTGGCCCAGACGAAGACGCCCCACGTGCTTACAGCGATCCATCTCTCCAGATGCACATGTGGCCTCAGCGATAGGACACACGTCCCGCAGCCAAGCAGCAACTCATTCTCACCTGAGAGTCACAGGGAGGAAAAGAAACCCGTAGTTATACATAGATATTCTGCTCCGTTTTACAGTTTGAATTAATGAGCACGAACGCACTCTGCGGTACAGAAAAAGACAGATATGGGGGGAGGGGGGGGGGGGGAGGGGGGGCTCCTAAATGAAGAGGTCTTTTTTCTCGTTTAGGTGTAGGTCATCACATCCACTGCAGAACATAACTCAGTGTGATCATCCATGTCCACGGTCAGCACCAACAGGAGGGGTGTGACAAACAGGAGGGAGAGTTCCATGAGAAATCTGCTGAACGAGGCCAAAGCCCTTTTCCTAATTAAATTATGATACTATAAATAAAACCAGTGATAACACTGAGCAAACAAAGCATTTTCAGCCAGGGCGAACGATTGGAAAAATTCACCTTCATTGACATGAAGGACACCCAACAATCATGGATTTGTTACAGGCTAAATCTGACTGAAACCTTGATGTAGGCAAATGACTTCTATGGTTTCTTACTTTGCTCTTTCATTTTTTAAAATTAAACAAAAGAGCCATGTTATACTCAGCTTGGAAAAAGATCATAAAGAACACTTAACACTGTTTTAATTGTATTGACGTTGCTTTTAAAATAAGGATTTCACCCACCACTCTATCAGAATATAACAGATGGTGCTCTCCAACAATTTGGCCTTTTTACAGAAAGCAGTGTGATCTGTGTGACATTTTTAGATGGCTTTAAGCTGCTGAGAGCGTGGCAATAAACTTCTCACATGCTTTCACTAGGAGGTAATGATCCAATTTTCCAAAATTTGAATAAGAAGTAAAGCATGCAATAGAAAAAACTCCAAAGATCTAAAAAAAACAACAACTAAACAAACAGATGTGTGTAACATCACACATCCTCAAAAGTGTAAAAATGTGCAGCTTTGTGTGAAGTTCAACCTATACTTGTCAGTATTATCTATCTCATGATGCCAGATAGTGTTTAATAAGAGGCCAACTTTACTGGCCCTGCTTATGGTTTACGTACCAAAGGATTTTTCATGCTCCATTATCCCTTACATTGGATTGTTTAACTCTGGGTGTATTGGCACTTGTTTCACTTCTTCCAGCACTGGGGTGATGGAAGACGTCTGTCTGTCCATTTAAACCATGCGGATGACCACTGCTATTGTCAACCAGCCCATTGCCACATCGCTCCTCTCGCTGCTTTTTCCTTTTCCTCTTTGTCTAAACCCTCTACTACTTCAAAAACTAATAATGCCGCAGGCGAGACGGCAGTAACTCTCAGCCCCGGCGCAACTGGTTTCCAGTTGGCTGCGTGCACAAATCCTGATGTTGCTCTGTGGCCGCCGAGCGTTAACCCGTCTTTAATAGCCACCAGAAGCCGATATTTATTGTTACAACGTCTCCAGAGTGACCGTCTGTGCTTTAAAGGCTGCTGTCTGGCTCAACTGTGCCGGCTATTCACGCCACGCTAGGCTACCCCGGCACCACCGTGTTCAGCCAGAACAAAGAACAGTCACGGAGCCACTCTCCGGGAACATCCAACAACTTTGTTGGTCCGAGGCAGCCCAGCAAGCAGTAAGTTAGCCACCGCCGCTAACCACTAGCTAAAGCGGCAGTGAGGAGGGCTTAGCGCTGCTCTGCCTTTTTCCTGTGTCTCACCTAAAGGCGGACTATGTAAAACACGTAGGGTTTGGCTGGTACCGAGTGGCTATTATTTGTGTTTTTAGCCCAGTAACAGCTAGCGTTAGCTGCAGTGCTAACACGTTTGCTGAGGACAATCGAAGTTAACCTAATGGTTGTTGTTGGTCGCTAACGTTAACTAACGGCTTAGCTCGCGAGCGAGACAGAGCCGTTAACCGTTTCAAAACTCCCCGGTTACCTCCACCGCAGGGAGCCAGTTACTGAGCCGTAGCCGCGTTACCGCCGGGGCCTCTGCGGTGCTCGTTACTACGTTAGTATCACCTGATAACGAAAAAGCTAGGTAACGTTACCATCGCCAACATCCATCCATCCGGTACACTCTGAGATTCAGCTTGTTGTCCTCATCACAGATTGAACAACCCAACTCTCGACCCGAGCCCATACCCAACTCCTCTCATTGGACCGCGGCTGAGCGGCAGCCCGGCTCTCATTGGCGGAGGAGCCGAACAACAGGCGGCAGGATGGACCGTCCATCCGCCCACCCACCGAGGCCACATGGAACAATAACCGCGGCTGCCCTGCTAACCGTGCGGGGAGGACGGCTGCCCACCACCGCTGACCCCCGTGCCCCCCGTAAAGCGCCTGTTCGCCCCGTGTCAGCTGGTTTAGGATAATCTGATAGAGTGCAGAGGGGGGAAGGGGGGTTGGAGCCCCGGGTCGTGTTATTGGCGTGAAAAGCCATCGCGGGTGGGATTTGTCTTCGAACCCTGGCCGCCGTCTCCACCGATGTACGTTTGCAAAGTTAATGCAAGGTGACTGGCTGGCTGCTGGCTGGACAACATGCGGTTACGGAAAGTTTTCTCAAGGGCTAGTTTTGAAGCCACAAGTTCAAGGCATTCGAAAATGCCTTTGAAACATACACCCAATTCTAATTTGCCTGCAGATATTAAAGAAATACTATTTTTTTCTGCAGTTTTGTTACTAGCTTGATTTCTATATGTTGTACTTGCACGTGTAATTTTAATTATGATCATGTTCACTTTTCATTTAGCTATACCTAGTTTTCTTTTCTTGAGAAGTTAAGATAAATGTTCTTTTATTTACACTTAATAATTATGACATTTGAAGTCACATGTTGTAAAATACACTGTATTTCTGCAGTTTTGCCATTGGCCTTTTTTTATTAGGGTAATTTGTTAGTTTTCTTGCTTTGCAGAGGTTTTTGGGTTAAGTGATATATTTTTGTAGTTAAATACTTATAATATTAATACTTAATACAATTATAGCTGGAATTGAATAAAAAGAGCCTGAAATTAGATGTTGCAATTTAGTTTTCTGTACGGGTGTAAATGAAAAATAGAAATCAAGAACTCTACACATTTTCATTTCTCCTTCATGCCAGGAAGCTTATAGGATCACGTTGTTTAGCAGGTAACCACATATGACACCCTCATTTCACTAAATAAATGTTCTGTTTAATAGGTAATTATTTGTTTCTCATTTAGGATAAAACAGTCAAATTCTCAGAACTAAAGTCTTTGAGCTCTCTCGAAAGAGTGCTGGAATGTACCTCGGGATACTTGGAAAACTATGCCTGACATACATATATAAATGACTGGAAGGTTTAGAAGGTTCAGACTGTTGAAAAGTAAATGATCATGAAATATTATGTTTGCTCAAAAAGAAGATAAAAAAGGCTGATTTCTTCTAAGTCTGACTGACTGGTGCTTTGGATTAATGGAATTATAATGACTTCTGATTTTGAATTGCGAGAGGGAAGCAGACATTTCGTTAATATGTTATGAGCCAGCGGCTGATGGCAGTGAAGCTACTTCGGCATCGTCTTTTATTTATGGAGTTCATGAGGACAGTCTGTGAATGATTAGAAATTGGCCTTGATAGAAATAGAGATTCTGTCTTCTTTCCTCCACATGGTTTTACTACAAAACTCTTTACATTTCATCAGTCAGGGAAAATAAATGCACAAATAACATCCCAAAAATCTAAATGGGTAAGAAAAAACAAATTACAAAAAAAAAAAAGCAGTGACCAGGCTTTAAAAAATTCCTGGGTGTTTCTCTGATCCATAGGACCACAATGAACACAACATCAAAACAGACAAACAACACAAAGAGGTCTCCACTGCAGGCTCAGCGCACATTACTTCCTTGGATTTGGAGTTTACGAAGTTTGTTGAACAGCTCTTGATACTGAGTCATCGTGTCAACGCAGTCCGCTGGCGCGAAAAGCCCCTCAGGTTTGGCCGCAAACACTGAAGGAAGTTCAGGTACGTTAGTACCAAGGAAGGACTGCATGAACTCCTTAATGAGATTCCAGCAGTCCCCTGGAACCACACAGGGACAGTACTCCACCTGAGGAAAGCAAGTCAATATTTAGTGCCATCACACAAAGTAATATGTCTCCTCTCTCTGTGATAAAATCAGGCCTCTGACACACCTCCACGGAAATCCCTCTGGCGCTGGAGCTCATTGTCACGGTGCCGACCTTTATTAAAAAGTCGCAGTAGCGATATCTTGAGCCACGGCACTCCACTTTGTGTCCTTTCGCATTCTGGAAGTGGCTTTTCAGCTTCACCATGAGGACATCAAAGTTGGCGTCTGCTATCAGGAAAGGTCCTCCTTCAAACATGGCCAGGCAGCTCAGGGGTGTCTCAGAGTTGTGCATCACGTATAGCAGCTTGGAGGGCTGACCTGTAACAGAGCAGAGTTGGACATAGTTGTGGACAACAGACTCAAAGCTTCAAAATGGATTACAAAAGCAATGGAGGTAAGGTCACACAACTCTGGAGGCAGGAGTCAAGGAAATGCTGGATTTATAAGTTTAGTAACTGCATGTTGACTTTAAGTAAGACTTTGGATAAGACAGGCTGTAATAAAGCAAGAATTTCACTAATTAAACATTGAGCAAATTATACTTCACTTAGAAAGCTCCTCTTCTCTAAAAACACTGAACACAATTATTAACAAACTCCTGGTAACATGCACCAAAAGGCACACAAAGGCTCAATTTCCTTGTGTACAAACATTGGGAGAGCATAAAATATACCTTTCTCTTGCTCTTAATTATCAAAATATACTGTGGATTGAAGAAAATCTGTATTCTTTTAGGAATTTCCCTTAATATGTGTATTTTATTTTCAAGACTCGCTCCTCTTAAGACATTTATGTTAGAAAATGGAGCTTAACATCCTTCAACGCTGGCAGTGTGTTCGTTCAGGTTGAAGAACATGACTGGACATTACCGCTGGCATTTCCTGTGGCCGTGTACGTCTCGCAGTCCACGCAGAAGCTGCCCTGCTTCACAGCACCCAGCTGTTCCAGCTTTCTGTGCAGGATGTCCACCGTCTGCTGCACGCTCTTCCCCTCCGTCACCGGCACCTGGCACACACTGCACCAGACGAAGCAAAACGTCAAACACAGAACATCAACACACTTTCCGGGATGCGAGAGGCAACATAACACCTGTCTCTGAATCACTGACACACATTGAACAATATTTCTGCTTCATATAGTGCGACTGAGACCGAATGATGGAGCATAACTAAGCGACGCAAACACACGGTGACTAAAGGAGAAGCTAGAGGAAAGGAGGAGAGAAAAAGGAGAAACTACAACAAAAAAGGTTTTAGTAAAATTATTTAGTGAATTATTTAAGTAATAATCTTACCAAGTGACCCCCATTGATGTTCAGCCCTCTACTAACGTCTGTAGCTTGAGTACATCCGGGTGAACGAGTGGGCTTCCGGTGAAATAAAAAGCAGTTGTGGAGGGAAGAAGAACATAAAAGCGAGCAAAAAAAGTCTAGGTCTACAATTGGGGTATATCTCATATGTGTAATAAAACCACGACAATTAGATTTTATCTAAGATTTTTCCAGAGTTTTGAGAAAACTGTGGGGTAGCGTGACGTCACTTCCGTCTTATGGCATACCGGCACGTGTTAAACAACCAACTGTTTACAGTGTTGGTAAAATCCGGACCTTAGCTCGCTCATGCAAAAACAGAAACACCGACGGTGCTGTTAGAGGGTGAGTAGAAGTGCAACGATGCCAAAAGTGAAGAGATCTAAAGGTGGAGGAGGAGAAAAAAACGAAGGAGCGATGCCGCTGGCCGACCAGATCCTACAGGCGGACACGATCCGAGCTCGAGGCCGGATGAAGAGCCGAGACACCCGGCCAGAAAACGAGGACAACTACGTAGACGAGCGTTTGTCGCGAAAAATCTTACAACAGGCCCGAATTCAACAAGAGGAGCTTCAGACCGAATATGGCCTGGCACCAGAGAAGAAGAAAGCACCTGTCACAGTTCTCGGTAATGGAGTTTTTTTTGTTGTCATTTATAAGTGAATCTTTATTAAATATTTGATTGGAGTCTGGTGGAAATAGTAAATCGTGTTCACACAGTCCAACCATTTCAGTTTCTTACTACATGGAAATATTCATAATGTGGATGTAGTTATTATGAGCATTAGAGTAAAGTTCATTAATTATGTGAAGACATGATAACTAAAGATCCTTGCACTAAACGGTTCAGTGTGAATATTGCTTATTGTATCCAAACATTTTAGGCCCTGACTCTCAGGATGCGGACTCTGATGAGGAATGGCCTGCTTTGGGAGAAGACGCGGGTGCTGGTGAGGGCACCGCCGAGTGTGACACCGAAGTCACTGTGGACCCCGACGATGAGAAGGCCATGGAGATGTTCATGAATAAAAACCCTCCCATGAGGCAAGATGCAACGCAATTATGGCCTTTTCCTGAACTTAACTGCAGAGATTCTAATGTGACTGGACACAGTATGCCAGTTTCTTGTTTTTGTCTGTTTTAAGAAAAAAATCTTTGTGGTTGTCATAGACGAACCTTAGCGGATATTATCATGGAGAAGATCACGGAGAAGCAGACGGAAGTAGGAACTGTGATGTCAGAGGTGTCGGGGTGCCCCATGCCCCAACTGGACCCCAGAATAATAGAGGTGTACAAAGGTGTGGGTAAGGTGAGTTGTCTTAAATCCATGAATATCTTCAATCCAGCTGTTGGTCATACCAGCTGGTTGCTCAACCCATGCCTCTCACTTGTCCTCTTCTTATATAGGTTTTATCAAAATATCGCAGCGGTAAGCTGCCAAAGGCCTTTAAAATCATACCAGCGCTGTCCAATTGGGAGCAGGTTCTGTATTTGACTGAGCCCGAGACCTGGACTGCAGCTGCCATGTACCAGGCTACCAGGTAATTTCTCATCCGGTTTCAGTCTGACGGGTGACGCTTAGTCTGGCAGAATGATCCCCATGCCTGTTGTTTTTATCTTTGTTATGCTGCAGAATATTCTCCTCGAATCTTAAAGAGCGAATGGCTCAGCGATTCTACAACTTGGTGCTGCTGCCCCGCGTTCGGGATGACATCGCAGAGTACAAGCGACTCAACTTTCATCTCTACAGCGCACTGAAGAAGGCCCTGTTTAAACCAGGAGCGTGGTTTAAAGGTGAGTTTTATTTCACTCTCATACGGTGCTTTTATTGAGGAGTGAGAAGAGAATATTGCTATTGATTTCGGGGTGGGGTTGCACTCCATGGGAATTTTATTTCTGATTTCAGAGCCTCATAAATAGAGTTGACTATCATGAAGAAGGGCTAAATTATAACTATCAAAGATATGCTTGGATGATTTCAACAAGTACGCATCTTGTGTGACATGTTTTTATTCTTTTATTTTTCTGTTCGTATATTAAATGGAATTTAATATGTTTATCATACTTTTAGGTGCGTAAATAACTCCTCTCGTCCTCTGCGATAGTGCACAGGAGTGTTAAAAATATTCTAGCCCAGTGAATGTTTAATACCCAGTGAATGATGAGCCAAGATCCACTTGCATGTGGCAATTAAAGGGGAGGAAAAAAAGATTTTTCCGCTCTTTGCAAGGCAGAAAATTCAAGCTCCCAAGGACATGTCTTAGCTCTAATTTTAGCTCCAGGTTTAGAAACTGTATTCGGAGGGCACTGACGGAGGATAAGTCGCTCTCCTCGGAGGAAATGACACCATTGGTTCTGGAGGCAAAGTAATTAACAGGCTTGATGTGGGTCAAATCATCCTTCATATACTATATCCAGAGATGATTGGTGAAACGTATTCCCCTTAAATCCCGTTGCTTCTCGCATTTATGAATTCGTCCCAGTTTGAAGGGACACGTATCCCGGAACAACCCATGGCCTGAATTTGGAGAAAATTTCCAGTAATCACCACTGAGTGTCAGCATTGCTCTCAGATTCACTGACCATGTGAGTCCTGCAGTATGAGGGAAGCAAAGAGAGGCACCAGTACTTTCCATTCCCTCTCTGGACCGTCAAAGCTCATTTCATGCTCTTCCACAGAGTCCGTTCAACTTGGTGCTTCAGAATTATGAGCTGTATTTAGTAGGAAAAAAGTCATTTGGAGAAATTTCCAGCTGGTACCGAATTTTGTATAGTTACAGTCCAAGTAGCAAATTGTCTTTATTTTATGGCTCTAAATGAGAATAGCTACATTACGTGGTATAATAATGTATTCATTGAGGCGAGTGCTTAAAGGTTAATTGATTTACTGTAATTTTGATGTAGTGCACACATTTAAGCTTAAGTTTTTGAGACATTGCTTTGTATCATGTGTGAATCGATTGTGCAATAGAGACTGAAACAAAACATTTCCAGTAACTCTTTAAGAATTTGTGTTCATCAGCTTGGAGGAATTTGGCTTGTTTTTTCTGAACAAATGAGCCTCAGCACTGGAACATTGTTGGGTTTCGTCACACAACATGCTCCGTGATGCAGTCTCTCTACAAATTATTTTCTATTTACCCACAAGGTTGGAGTTTACAGTGTTGCTGTCAGCCAGCAGCTAGCTCCCAGCTCTGGTCAGGGAGGGCTCTATCTTTAATAGATTGATAGGTAGAATACTTTATTGATCCCACAGTGGGGAAACGTACACGTTACAGCAGAAAAAAGGGAAAAAAAGACGTAAAAATAAAGGTTATTTACAGTGGAACAAAATAAATAAAGGTATTAAAATGGATCATAACGGTATAATGGATCTACATGTGTGCGCATGTGATAATAAATCCCTTGTTGAAGCCTTTGACACTTGCACAAACATGTATTGTGAAATAAACTCCCGTTCAGCCCTGTCTTTGGAATTAATGGTCTGCACTTCCTGTTGATCAGAAACACCAGATTCCAATTTCATCTTTGAATGAGCTGCTAATCTTAAAGGCTGAGTGACTTTTGTCAGAGAGAAACGTCACAACTAATGATAGTTTTACCTTTATTTTCTTTACAGTTGACGGCCAACCCAAACTTTTTTCAAAGCTCTATTACGTAAATTTGGTGTAAAATAACATCGAGGTGCTTTCAGTTCAGTCAGTTCTCATGTTTTGTCCTCGAGGTGGAAAAGTCTTCTAATATTTCCGTCTGTCCCTTGTCACAAAGGCCTCCTGCTCCCCCTGTGTGAATCTGGGACGTGCACTCTCAGGGAGGCCATCATCATCGGGAGCATACTCACAAAGTGCTCCGTCCCGGTGCTGCACTCCAGGTAAAGACCTCCCGACCCTGACACGGAGATCTCACCATCTGCTTTTCCTTCCATAAACCCACCCTGCTGACTTAAAAAAACAAACCTGGAAATGCTGGGACTCACACAGCGTTGCGTAACACGTTCTCCCTTCCCCTCTTTCAGCGCTGCAATGCTTAAGTTGGCGGAGATGGAGTACAACGGTGCCAACAGCATTTTCCTGCGTCTCTTGCTCGACAAGAAATACGCCCTGCCTTTCCGTGTGGTGGATGCCTTGGTGGCTCACTTCCTGACCTTCCGCAGCGAGAAACGCGTGCTTCCTGTGCTGTGGCACCAGAGTCTTCTCACCCTGGCCCAGCGCTACAAGGCCGACCTGGCCTCCGAACAGAAGGAAGCCCTGCTGGAGCTGCTCAAGATACAAACGCACCCTTCCATTTCTGCGGAGATTCGCAGGGAGCTGCAGAGATCCGAGTCGAGGGATATCGAAATCGGGGTCCCGGTTACAGTTGAAATGGATTAAGTCCGTCTGGTTTGCTGCGTCATTATTCATGGTCCCCCAGAATGAAATGACTTTAGCGCTGCTGTTTTATGAGTAGAGCTCCAAAGATCAGAGTGTGTCCGTGGCTCCCCAGAGCTATACTTCTTTCCCCCTGTTTTAAGAGGCTTTCCCATGTAAAAATATTCATCATTACTGGTGTGGCTGCAGTTTCATAGGACTTCTATGAGCTTTTAGACACAAAGACTTCTTTTTGTGTACATTGCACATTCGGTATTGAAATAATAAATTGTATTAAACATTCAAACAGTATGCTTAAAAGTTGGTTTGTGATTTTCCATTTTGTCTTTGCACCTACCAGCTAAAAGTGGAAACTTTGATGAAATTGATCAAACTCAGTGCTTGCTTCATGGGAGGTCAGTGCGAAACTGACCTAACGAAAAACTGAAGCCATCTAACAGACGGCTGTTGTGTCAGAAGATGGTTTGACATATAATTTACTCATATAGAACAATATGTAAACAATATTTACAAGAGTAAAACAGCTTCTTAAAAAGCTATAGCTCATTAAGTTGTGTCTCAACAGGGTTCTGCTTACAGGAAAGTGGACCTAAGATGATGGGATGGAGTCTACACTTGGTTTGACTGTGTGAGGCTTTAAAGACAATGTGTGGATTTTGAATTTTTGAATTTTCATAGTTGGTCCAGCAGGTCATTTGACAGGTTTTTCAAATGGGACTATGTAAACGAGTAAATTAAACGGTGAAGGTCCACTTTTTGGGACTGATAAGCAAGTTATAACATTTAACCTAAACGTTTAAAATGTTATATTTATATAAAAGCTTTTTTTTCTTCATTAGTTTGACCTCAAACCCTTTTTTGACGGCACGTGGGCCTCTGGACGACGTCAAAGTTAGCATGCGTTAGCTAAAAAAAAACACTAGCTTAACGGTCGGCTAACGGACGTCTCTGATCCACGTGACGTCGGAGAGCTTCGCGGAGGATTCAAGCATGAAGGCAGCAGCTGCCGAGGAGCGGCGTGTGGTCCTCCGGGCGGGCCGAGACCCGGCGGTGACCGCCGACCTGAGGGTGGTGCGCCACCTGCGGGCCCTGGAGGAGGCCGGCTGGGTGCCCCCCTCCCTCTTTGGCAAAGTGCAGACAGACATTCAGCCGCACATGAGGAAGATACTCACTGTGTGGATGTTTAAGGTAGACCGTTTTTTAAAAAATTTGATGAAAATGAAAGTCAAAGGTCAGTGGAAGTAAAGAGGGCCCCTGTGTGACAGGTGTGTGAGGAGCAGCTTTGCGAGGAGGAGGTGTTTCCGCAGGCCGTGCGTTACCTGGACTCTTACCTGAGCCGTTTCCCCGTTGAGAGGTCCCAGCTGCAGTGTTTGGGGGCGGTGTGCATGTACCTGGCCTCCAAAATGAGAGAGACCGTCCCTCTGACTGCCACAAAGCTCTCCATCTACACAGACAACTCCATTCCAGTGACGGACATCATGGTAAATGTCTTCTCTGTCCCAGAAGCATGCAGTTATTTTCCTGTCTGACTCCCCCAGCCACAGCCAAGAGCACCTGTCCCCATCAATCCTGTGTGCATTTGTCTGATTTCTGAAATTTAGAGCAGATGTATTTGCATGGAGGCATCACAGGAAGTGGGAAATGGCCCATTTTAGATGCAATTAGTTTTTTTCCTGAACCAGTTTTGATTGTGGACCCATTTTTTAAAATTAGTGCCATCTTTTACTTGTTCTTGTTTGCATTAAGCGCAGAACACAGCTTTTGTTGGGTGCGGTAGCGTAATATTAGGTTTGACCGAGGACTGACCTCGTGTCAGGCATGCGTCCTTCCGACATCAGAGGACACTTTCTTATCACAGCGTTTCACAACTTAGGGTCATGACAAAAATGTGTGGAGCTTCAAGATAATGGACTCGTATCCACACTTTTTACCAGATGTTTCAGCCTCTGAAAGATATCCTGGTAGAAAGCCCTGTGTTGGCATAATACCTCCTCATGCTGTCTGTGTGGCATAACAAGAAGCTGTTCGGATGTGTTGAAAAATAATTTCTATTTCTTTACGTTTTTGTAAAATATAGTATTTGAGCATTTTCCCATAACATTATTCTGACCAAAACTACAAAAACTCTACTCTCCAAACTGGAGTAACACATCTAAATGATGCAGCTGCCGACAGATGTGCTCCTGCTTGTATACCCTCAACTAAACCAATTATCTAAAACACCTTTTTTTCTGTTTTTGTGAAAGCAAAAAGTGCAAGTGGCTGTCATTCGGTCAGAAACTGCGAATGACAATCAGCCCATTAAGACTACATGTTCACTCACAGTCACGTTAAACGTTCCCAGAGTGTCGCTTTGCTATAATAAAATCAACATTCTAGAATAACAGGGTCATCTGACACAGACCACCAACCACCAGATTGGCAGATGATTTCCTAACAGAGAAAAGTTTGAAGAGGCAGGAGGCCTGGGACATTTCCCCTCTGTGTTTCACAGCAGCATGGCACCAGGCTCCATCAGCAAATAACTCAGTTAGAAGTAACCCTGGCCTTTTTCTGCTCTTCCTTAAAGAAGTAAGAATTCTGCCCTTTTCACTGCCTCTTTGATTTGTTGAGTGGGAACTCAAAGGCATGCATGACAAAAGAGCTTTTAATTCCACCACTTCTCAGGAAGTCCCAGCGAGGGGTAAAGGTACAAACGCCTTATGGCCGTGTCTGTGTGCTTTTGATGGTGGGTTGCTTGAAGGAATGTGTATGTTTCAGCGCTGGGAGGTGACGGTGGTGTCCAGGTTGGACTGGTGTCTGGCGTCCGTGGTGCCCTCCGACTTCCTGGAGCCAGTTCTTCACGCTCTCCCCTTTGTTCAGCCCTCACACCTTCGAAACATGCGCCGGCTTGTTCACTCCTGCATAGCCTTGGCCGCCATGGGTGAGTTGCATAACCGTGTTACCTACACACCAGAGGGCTTTTCCCCCAAATGAAAGAAAGCGCTCAATGTTTTGTGCTCAGCTCCACAGCGAACCTTTTCATCCGGCAGGCCGACAGCAGCCGCTTTGTGGGGTCACGACCATCATTTTTTTTTCACGGATGAGCGCTCGACGCGGCCGCGCATCTGCTTTTCCAAACGGCGGCCCGCGGCAGCCAGAAGTTTGCTAGTGATGTGTCAGCGCTTGGTTTTGTAATCCTGTGTAATCCCACATTGTCCGCTGTGAAAGACCTGCGTCTGACTATTCACTTGGCTGATTTCCCACGAATCTCTGTGATGCTGCCAGAGGCAACAGGTCACAGGGATGGCGTCAGATGGGGTTCTTTCAGACACAATATACGATTACAGCCCCGTAAAATTAAGATGATTCCCGGCTCTCGACGTCTGAACCCGTTCTAAAAAGGTGTCAGGTTTGGGCTGAATGAGACTTTTTGTCCCCACAGCAATTAGGGTATCAGATTATCAGCTTTTGGGAAGTAGCTGATTCTGAGGGCTTGTCTTTGTCTTTCAGGGTGTGTCTACTTCACAGCACATCCAGCATATCGTCTGCCAAGTAGCCTCGGCTGCCTGTCTCCATGTTTTGATAGTCAAAGTGGCCTTCGGAGTCAGAGAATGCAAAGTAAAAAAGTTCTCCCCTCTCCTTAGACTTCAGGTTTTCAGTCTTCCTGCCCTCCGTCCTGGCCTGTGCGTGTGTGAGCGCTGCCGCGCAGAGGCTGAAAGTGATGGACGCCGACGTGGCCTCGGACGCCGTGCTGACGTTTTTAGCCAACCTGCTGGAGGCTGATGTGGTGAGGGCAATGTTTAACCAACTCTCATATCACTTTGACTTTGGCCTGTCAATAGTGAGAGCTCTGTTTTTGAGCTTTTTGGTCCCCTGAAGCATCCTGATCAAACAGTCTGAGGATAAAAGTACACACCGTTTCCTGAGCCTCCATGTGCACACAGTCATTCAGGGCACGACCACACCTGTAGCCTTGCCCGCCCCGATGAACTGTTTTTCCACCAGAGCGCCGTCCTGTGCTGCCGTGAGCTGTTAGGAAGTGTGTTGGAACCCGGCCCACCCTCCTGTCTGCAGGATGATGTTGGCAGGTCAGACGCACACTGTTCAGGGATCAGCTACACCCCTGCCGAAACCCAGGATGTGCTATTGACTCCGGTAACACCACAGCAGGATATGGAGCTTAAACACTCCACCCAGCCGTAAAGATTCAAATAAGTGCTGAAGTTTCACTTATTAGACTGAATAAAAGGCTTTAGCAAAGGCCAAAAATTAGATTGATTGCTATTTTTCTGTAGTTCTGTTTCCTCACATGAGGACTTGTGTTTTTAAATGTGTGTTCTGCTACTGTTCCCATCGAGCTCACTGAATACCCGATACTGAATCCTGTGGATTGTGGGGGTGTTTGGACACGCAGCTCTTTTTAGTTTAAACAGATGTTTCTGCAGATCAATCCTAATCAATGCAGTGAAGCAACCCACAACAATCTTATGCAAGTCACAAACATTCACCAGAAATAGAGTTCTTTGACGTTTCTTTATTGATTTCTTCATCCCAGTCACACAGCGCTGTAAGTGAGCCAGCGACTTTGGCAAACATGGCTTTAGTTGCAGATAGAAAAGTATGAACCGAATCGCCATACCTTCAACTTCTGTGACATAAAGGAAAAAAAAAAAAGATGTAATGCCCAAATACAGTCACAAACATTAACGGTGTCACTCCAGAGTTGTACAGTCCACCTGAGTAAACTTTGATGAATGGACACTGATGAATGCCGATCACTTCCAGTCAAAACAAGGCCTTTCTTTTGCTTACATGCAACCAATTCCAGATAAACCCCAGTGTTAAATTAAACAATCAAAAGAGAGGGAAAAAAAGGTTCATCTTCAAGTTTCTGAGCAGCACCCTGTGTAGGCGGCTTACATGAGCCGCCCGGTCCAGCTGCAGTGAAATGTCACCGGGCTCTGGTGGCCTGAACGTGCTTTTGAAGACTCTGCTGTGGTGCTCAGGTGCCCCGAATCTAAAGCAAGTTCATTCCAGAGGGGTGCCTGGGGCTGAAGTGTTAGGGGACACATTGTGGACTTTGTCCCCCTGCATATAACAAGCTAAATCTGAAAAACTCAATGAATATATGCACACGCTGCTGTCCACCCTCTAAAAATAGCGACTTAAGGCTTTCCACGCCCTGAGAACCTGTCACCTGTACAGATGGAGCCCTGGGCTACTGGAGCTTTTGTATCAGCGGAGGCTTAGGAGCAGGTTTGGCGGGTCGCTCCCGTCGTGACTCATGATTATTTTTCAAGTGATCAACTGAACACAGAAACTGTCACTTCGGCAGAACAAAGTCCTTCTGGGAAGCTTAAGCGCCGGTTACACACAGGCATAAACTTGGCACAAAATATACACAAATAAAACATTAAAAGATTAGCAAAGTTAGTCTTTGGTGTATGTACGGTGTGAAAAAGAGAAAGCTATCCTAATGTTGCATCTGTTTGATATTGCCTTTCTTTTTTTTTTTTACATAATAACTACAAAGCCAGAGTCCAAATAAACAGAACCTTTCTTATCACCTATAAATGGCTCAGAGTTGGAAGACAGAGTATTCTACATCCATAAAACCTGATGGAAAGCCAAACACAGCTGTCCTTTTCAGGCTGTAAATGCATTCCAGTTGATGGCTGCTTACGCAGGATATCATCCAAACCCTTTTCTCTCTTTTTTTTTTTGGTTTCACTGTGCGTTTCCACTGTCAATGTAGACTCATTCACAGAAAACTCCCTTTCTCCCAGGAATTTTTAAAAAAAGATGGACATTATTCAAGTTACTCGCTGACTCTGCTATGAGCCGCATGTTGGCCCTGTTGTACAACAACCGGGATCACAACATATATAATTACCTCGACTCAACAACCACATACAATCTGATGTTTGTGTCCCCACCTTTTTGGTACTATGCTACTCCTGAAGGTAGTCCAAATGACAACCTTCAGGTCTCTTTATGCACTTTGGCTTTCATGTTGTCAGTTGCAGATATTCTGAATGGAAATACAAAGAGTTGTTTGTTTGTTTGTTTTGTCCACTCCTCATCCTCAGCTCGCCGCAGATCCCCGTATAACCATGGCCTGTTTGTAAGCCTCTGTGACATTATCACAGTCAGTAATTGAAAAGGCACTGTCAGCCACTCCAGTCTTGTAACACTCCCACGGCCTGAGCGCCCCTCCAGACAGAATTCCGTCCTCTACAATGTCCAGCAGGTTGTCTGCGGAGACGCAGCCTCTCATGCTAGTCTTTGTGGGTTTCTCTATTTGCATGGGAGGGCTCACGTGGTCTGGGAGATCGAGCTGGTCAAAGGACTCGGAGGACAGAATGCTGTCCTCACTGATGGCCCCGCTTGGCCTGGGCCTGGTGCATCCTCTGGGTAAAGACGCTGCCAGTTGGTCCAGAGAGCCGAACTCCTGTAAGACCCCCGTAGAGAACTTTCCATTGCGCTTGAGGATGCCTTTGCGACAGACCGGTGCCGAAGGGCACTCTTTAGGTTGTGGTGCCCAGCTGGAGCCGCTGTTTTCAGGAGAAGAGGAGTAATACCCTGACTCCTGCTCGGCGGACTTCTTTAAGATGCCTTTACGGGGCGGTAGTGCACCACAAGGGGCGAGAGCGGGGGCAGATAAGCCCAGGATGCTCTGCGGCTCCAGCGAGCCTGCAGCAGGGCTTTCAGCGGCGGCCTTCTGTTTCACGCTGTTCCGTCTTTTCAGAATACCTTTAGAGGGCCGCGAGTCTGCGCTCCCTTCGTGAACTGTCTGGGTGACGTTGTTCTCCTTGCGCGAGCGCCGCAGGGAGCGCTGTCTCAGCACGTCCCCTCCGGCGGCGTGCGGGCGCAGCAGGCAGCGGATCTTGGAGCCGTTCTCCAGCAGAGGCCGGGACGTACGCCGCAGCCAGCTGGCCACGCCAGCCAGCCCTGCGGCGTGGGAGCTCGATGGCGATGCGGGCAAAATGGTCTGTTCCGCCACGCTGCTCCTCCTTTCGCACAGCAATGGCTGCTGGTAGCCCCAGTTGAGCCACCAATGCCCCGCGATTTCCTCTATAGTCGCCCTGCGCTCCGGATTGACCATCAGCATCCAGCGGATGAGTCCACAAGCATCTGACGGAGAGAAAAATAGGAGACATTGTGGCGGTTAATGTTGTGTTGAGGTAGAACCACATCAGGAAATGAGGTGTAGGCACCAACAGTGGGCGAGAACGTTTCGCCAAAATTAAAATCTAGACTCTCACCGGAGGGAATACTTGGTTTCCGGTAGTTTCCGGTGCTGATCTGCTGGACCAGGATCTTGTGGTTGTGTCCATCAAATGGCATGGTCCCATGAACCAGTGTGTACAACAGCACACCGAGGGACCAGGTGTCCACCTCCGGCCCGCGGTACGGCCGTCCATTGACGATCTCGGGGGAAGCGTACAGAGGGCTGCCGCAAAAAGTCTGCAGATACTCATCGCTGTGGTAGAGGTTCGACAGTCCAAAGTCGGCAATCTGCCAGAGCAAATAGTCACAAGTGTACTCAGGAGCAAAGTCTTTGATCAGATCCTCCACACACAGACCTCTCTTTGCAAACACATTCTTTAAACTCTGCACATAATTCAGAATAATTGAAAGTTTTTCTCAGAGATCTTGATAGTCAGTTCTGAATATAAATTATTAAATAAAATGTTAAAAAGCTGCATCCTCATGAGACCAAAAGAGCATTCCTCATGCGTCTGCATGCATGCAGAAGTCAGTGTACATACCTTCACATTGCCGTTGCCATCAAGTAAAATATTCTCCAGTTTCAGGTCTCTGTGAACTATTCCATTCTAGCAGGGATGAAAAAAAAAAAAGAAGCGATTAAATAATCTTTCTATAACACTGATCCTTTCTTTACAGCAAACTCAATACAATATTTAAGGATTCGTTTTTGTTACTGGGACCAAGCACATTCTTTTCTAGTAGAACATTTTCTGCTGGTACACCAACTATGCCTCATTGTCCTCTGCTCTGCAGGGGGGCATGCCTTTGGCTCAAATGAGTTTGCGTTTGTTTTTGCTTTCAGAAATGTAGGTCGGCTTGGTCCTTTGCACTGGCCGGGCACTCGTGGCAACGGACACATTCTTTGTTGGTTTTTTGCTCCGTTTGCTCTTTGTTAATGTGATGAGGGAAACTGTGTGCAAAATTTATATGATCAAGCGAGGGTTGGGGAGACCTTTCACACTGCGCGAGCGTGGAAAGTAAAATATTTAACAAGACGTTCACGATCCCATAAAAGCGAAGAGGACAGGTGGCTGGGACAGTCTATGACAGAGCAATCCACTCAGAAAATACTGTTGAGCAAACATTTGGAGACGCTGTGCTCGTTGCTGAACAGCCACACTAAAATGTTTGTAATTACCCAGCCTTCAAGAACTAGTGATTGGTGTGTGTGTGTGTGTGTGTGTGTGTGTGTGTGTGTGTGTGTGTGTGTGCGCGCGCGCGCGCATGCGTGTTGTGTTCCTTCACACCCTCATTAAACTGTGAGACCATGCGTGTGTGTCTTTGGGTGGTTGGCCCTAACGCTCGCTCTGTACAGACTGACTGTTCATTCCTCCCTGCAGCGTTCACACAGCCTCCCTGTTCAGGCCGGGAGGATGACACTGAATAATGCCCCTTATGTAACTTTGGAAGGTGGCTGCGTCCTATAAACGACAAAAAAAAGTGGGGCTCTTCGTCATAAGGCATGACATGGCAGACTGACAGGGGGGGTGCGCTTCATTGGAAGGCCACCTTAAAAAAAAGAGAACCTGGAATAGGTCCTGTATTAGGGGGACAGTCGTACCTGATGGCAGTAGTGCACAGCGGAGACTATCTGCCTGAAGAAGTGTCTGGCCTCCTTCTCTGAGATCTTTCTCTTGTCACAGATGTAGTCGTACAGGTCCCCCCGGCTGGCGTACTCCATGACGATCACAATTTTGTCTTTGTTCTCAAACACTAAAAATAAATAAATAAACACAATTATTCACAGTATCAGTCAAAACCTCTTCACATTTGTAATGACTCATGTTTAATTTCCCCCCCTGAAAGGAAACAGTCTGTGCAAACACTAATCCTCACCGATTTGAATAAACAAACCAGAATGACTACATTGACGATGATCATCGGGCGTGAGGGGCATTAGACACGAGCTCTGCACATTAGCCCCATGGCTGCAGAGTATGGGAGCTTATGTAACTTTGCATCGGGTTTTAGGCACCACAACTCGCGTGACAACAGAGACTGATTGAGCCTCGACTTGTTTTAGGTGTCACGTTTCTACCTGCGTGCCCTTCCCCTGCAGTCGACAACTGAACTGAACCCGGCCCGGGCGGCTGCAAATCTCTACCTTCGTAAATGGTGATGATATGTGGATGACACAGTGAGGACATGATCTCAATTTCTCTGCGAATGTGCACCAAGTCTTGCTCATCTTTGATCTTCTCTTTCCTGATGGACTTCACGGCAACCTGAAAAAAAGCAAACAAATAAAAAGGAAAGAATTAAAAAATGCTTGACATCCTTAGTTAAATTAGCAATAGAAGTGAAAACAGGTAAGCAAGACGCTGTGACTACAGCTGCTTTCTGTTCCAAGAGTCAAAAAGTAGATACAATCAAGTAGCTTTTAGTTCATCTATGCGAGTGGAAACCATAGCTTCTTTGAAATTAAATATTAAAAATTCCCTGATTCCTAAAGCATTTGATTAATTTAATTCAACTGTCAAGACACCCAAATGTTCATTTTCTATACAGGAAAAACAAATGGCTTCTCTTTACATTGAATTCTGGATGCGTTTCAGCAACACGAAATGATCCTTAATCTGAAGGACAAACTAAACCCAAACAACTTTTGTTAAAACAGGTGTTCTATCGGGTTAGACCTGTCTGTTCCCCGAAAAAGCTACAAACATCTAGAAATGAGTTGGAATTTAATTCTTAAAAGATTCCCGTCGCTGCCAATGCTTGTCCAACGAGGGCCGTGGACCAAAACCTTTGCTGTCCTATTTTTTAACAAGGCAGAGGGAACACTGGGTCACCGCCTGGGTCTGTTGTAAAAAACTGAGATCTCTTTGCTTTTAGGGTCTCAGGTCTTTGTATTGGAACATCAGATGTTTGGGATTCCTCTTTGCGTAGGGTGCGTCATCAGTCTACCCTGAGCCTGAGGGGCTCTAGAGGCACCAGATGGCCCAGCTGCTGGGGTGTCCTCGTTTTTCTTCTTTTTAAACCCTCAAGGCTTCAGACACACGGAAATGAGTAAAGCTCTGACTTGTCCTATCAGTTTCAGCGCTCGGCTGTCTCCTGCCACAAGTCACCCTTTGACGTAGACGCTCCTCCGGGGTCAGCAACACATTCACGCCACACACACCTCCTTCCTGATTCTGGGAAAGCGAGGTTTCCTGCGTTTGTTAGCATAACTGTCAGACACACTCATGACGCCTTCGCGCCCCGGTGAGTCTCTCGGAGTGTGTGTGCGGCCTTTGTTACGGTCTGTGCCCACGCAAGAGGCATTCAGAGGTTAAAATCTTAAACATTTCACACAGACTTCCTGTACAAATAAATGCTAACCATACATTTGCGCCACACACATGCTCGTTCCATTGCTAGGCCCCATACGCCAGTGGTACCAGGTGGTCCAGTCCAGATGAGCGAGGTTAGGAGAAGATTTAAGCCTCAGTGGAAAATAATGACTTCCTCAACAGGCTCTCACATAAAATTTAGATCCACTACGTTTAGGGGGGGCCACTTGTACAACCCGCTTAAAACATTTGAAACTGAATTAACTCAACAGTGTTGAAATTAGCACTAATGAAATACGATGCACACCAAGTTTTCACTTGAGTTGCGTTTCACTTGGTCAGGCTGAAGCTCCGCTCTGTGAGCCAAAAACAAATACAGCATGTGAACTAACGGAATACTCAGAATCAACAAGTTTTTTGCCCCAACCAAAATGTTTTCATAGTTCCCCCGTTAGCTGGGACTTATTTCAAGTTGACATTGAGAGGGTTCATCTGTTTCAGTCTGTGAGCTGTAGTTTGTCGAGGATGTGAACATCTTTATTTCCGTAAACCCACAGAGTTTATGGCAAAACTTTACCTACTTCCTGCTCCACGGAGCAGGAGCAGAGTCCAAGGAGTGGAAGGGGGGTGTCCAGAGCTTACTTATTTTATGTAAAACAACTTTAATGTTGAAATGAATATATTCCAGCCTGTCTCTTCTCTAAGATTCATTATAAAACATCAGAAAAGTAGCACTTAGACAAGGTCAGTGCAAGAAAAACAAACAATGGTCAAATATGTCAACTAAAGGGCAGTTTCACACCCAACTCTCTCTCAGCTTTGAATTTCTTAAGCCAAAGTTAAACAAAGAAAAATCATAATAATTAGAAATAATAAGAAAAAAGTGTACTGCATCTTTAAAAATACAATGTATAAGTGGAAAAAAGCAATGTACAAACACTGGAAATACATCATGTAAACATCTCCAGGCACACACATCTGTGTTGCTCCTTTTCTGCCTTTTTGTTTCGTTAAACCTAATTAAGTTCACCTTTGAATGGTTGAACTAACAGGTTTTTTTTAGGCAGATCTCTTCCTTACTCACAAATCTTAAGACAGCTCCAACTGCCAGCACACGCTTTGAGATTCTTCCTCATGATAATTCAGCACAAATATGGGTGTAGCTAGAAATAGCTTACACCAAAATAGAACCGATTAACTCAGAAGATGGAAAGATGGTGAGTGTAAAGGAGAGAGACACTAGAAAGACACTGAGGAAACAGCTAAGCAGTTTTTTTACTCTTAAGAGGACAATATAGGAGGAAAAGAGGAAGAGATCCATGACTCATATTTATAAAAAGAAGAACCATTGTTTAAAATGTACTTTTTAAAAACTATTTACAGAGCATCCCGTCTTGCTTCTAAGCTCCCCATGTTCTTCTGAAAGTCCAGCAAAGAGCCATTTAAGATATCTATGCATATTTCCTCTAGGAATCGGAGGCCACTGAGGTGGCCCTATCAGCCAGTGTTTGTCCTATGAGCACCACAGCTAAGCAGCCCTCCTTCTGACCAAAGGGCTTACACATGTCCAGCTGACAATGACCAATAAGTCTTCCCACATTCTTCACCAACTTTCCTCCAGTCTAGACACTGACTGGAGATAAGAGGCTCTCCCTTAGTGCAATTCAAAGGATTTCTAGATATATGTGTAATGCTTTACACCAGAACAGATCAGAAATGACTGTTTGTTTTAACCATGACTAATTATTCATTAGCTGGATTTAATACACTTAGACTTTTCTGTGGTTGACAGGTCAAAAAGGTTGGCTGTAGTAAACCTTTATGTCTGAACTTCTACAAAGTTTTGTTGGCATTTGGTACACCTAACAATCGGATTATTTTCGTTCGTAAGTTTTAATAGTGCCAGACGATCTGGTACCTCACTTTTTTAAAAGATTGAGGACAAAAACTTTTACAGTTTGCAAATCCCTGGTGCATCCCACCTCAGGCTAGACACACGGCCATGGCGTGCACCAACGTATGCCGCTCCACGTTGACGGGTTATGTGATCAGACTTGCACTCAGACAGCGGTGCCGCCGCGTGCAGGATGGAGCCATCCTCTGTGCTGAGTCAGCGCCCGAGTCAAATCACACAGCTCTGCCCTGTGTGTTGTCAAATGATCTTTGATGGCACGCTGGGTCAGGGGATACATTTTAGACTACAGCTCATATCCTTAAAAAAACAGAGCAGCCAAGTCAGAGGCTGTGTGGACAAGACTGGGCTTGTACCACCGCCTGTGGACTCCAGGTACTCACAAACAAAGGGGAATTCCATCCTGACTTGGACTTCCTTGAGTCGGAGGCACTTTCACTCATATAAATGTTATCTTTGAGCAGAGAGCTGTTCTGATAAGCGTCGGCTTTCCTTTATGAACTGACATGTCCACTTGAACCCGTTTGGCTAAAAATGTGAAGATTTCATTTCCGTCTCCAAACGCGCATTACGTTTCGGATCATTTTACTACAATTTGCATTTCCTCCTACAACCACTCATACGACAGGTGATTTAGCACAGCTGCAGGTCAAATAAATCCAGTCCACATAATGTGTCGTTTGTAGTAGTTTGTAATATGGCGACAAAGATCGAGAGAATTTAAGTTAATTTGCCTTACTTTGGTCAAATTGAGCAAATGAGGCTATGCTGTACAACTGTGTCGAAATGTTCTCAGATTTAGTTCAGTCCAATTATTTTTAACCACTCTCAACATGAGCAAATGATGCTTAAAATGTCTTAAAATGTGGTTAAAGTATTTGGAAATCTCTCAGGGAAAAGACAAATGCCTTGTGTTTCATTTTGAAGCCTTATCTCTCCCTAGTTGGTTTTAAATACTTCCCATTTCCCCTAACTGGAATTTCACCTTAGGGGCCTGTTACAATGACTTAATCACAAAGATTTGACCTAACTTTCCCATCTAAACAAATTCCCCACTGGGGCTAAAACTCCCCAGACTTTCCAACCATGTGCCTTCCGCATTTTGCCTGCTATATGTGTGCCAAATTAAAGCGATTATGCAAAACTTCCTGTTTGCCTCCGTCTGAGGATCTGCTCTATGGAAAAAGGATGGAAATGTCGGTGTCCCTGCTAGTAGCAAGTGCAAATGTGCTCATGCCAAATCCAACCCTGTGATGACCCTGAGACCAGAGCTTTAGTGGTCAACCGGTGACTCTGCTCAGAGAACAGAGCAAAGCTTATTACCATGTGTCAAGTCTGCCTTCACATTCAACAGCTTCAACTTGTTTTGGGCAAAATAAAAATGTAGGTCACAGTCTGGTGAAAAATCCCTCCGCTTTTCCCTAAACGAAACCTGTAGTCAGAGTCGTGTTCCTCAGACGTGACTCGGCCTTCATTTAAGTTCAAATCCAGACCACCTGGTGACAGCCTGCGCGTCTCTTAAAAATAGCCCTCTGCCTCCACAATAACAGGTGGCCACCGGACAGGGGAGCAAACCCTGACCTGGAACCGGCTCCAGGTGCGGGATAAAGCGACAGCTAAAGGAGAATAACGTCAGCTGAATCTTACCAGTCGGCCGGACCTTTCCTTCGCCTTCTTCACCTTGCCGTAGGTGCCTTTGCCCAGGGTCTCCAGAAACTCGTACCTGTGTTTCAGGTTGTGTTTGTGGTGGTGTCTCTTCACGGCTTGTTTTTTCACGGGCGCCTGGGACTGGGCTTTCCCAGCGGGGGTGCTTTCACCGGGTGAAACCCCTCCGACGGGCGGCCAAACGTCTGAGGGAAGACGGGCAGGTTCCATGCCGACACGGCGTCGTTGTCTTGTGTCGGACGCAGGTGTCGGCTCTAAACGAGCATTCCCGTTTCAGGAGCCGCCGAGGTGCTTCAGTTTTGATTCCCGGTAAACTCAAACGAGAGGGTTTATCTCGGAGTACTCCTACTTTGGCAGTGAGGCAGGTTTGCTACGACGAAACCAGACGGAGACAGAGAGAAAAGCCACAACGCCCACCGCCGGGAGAGAGACAGCCTTCTCCGAGCGGCTAACTGAGTAATTAGCAGGTACGCCGCGTGTGTGTGGCCGGTGGACGAAGCACCGCCCGCCGGCGGAGCACCGGGCGGGGGGGCGTTTAGCTGACGCTCACACAACTGGACTTAAAAAGAAATGAATCATCAATCAATAAATCAATACAAAGTCTGTGCCTCTCTGAATTTTCAGATTTTATGGAGCTAGTTCGTCTTGTTTTTGAGTCAATAGAAGTATTTCTAGTTAATATTTTTTCAGTGCTTTTTTTTTACTGAGAAAAAGAGGTACATTTTCATTAATGGATTAAGAAAACTTCCTCAAAGGAATTCGAGAGAAACATGAAGTTAGAATAGAAAATGAAAAGCTATGTAGAAATAAAGAATAGATATTTGAGAGCGTTTGATTATTACCATTAATTCTGAGAGACTGAAGTGTTTTGCCTTGATACAGTCTTAAGCCACTAAAATGGCTTTAAACAATAGTTTTACAGGTTCTAATTGGCCTCTCGCCTGTTTTTTCTTACACAATGGCTGCGTTTTAGTTTATTCTGTGTGCTTCGTCATGTCAGGGGAAAGTTCTTTTGTTTAGTTTGTTAACACCAACCTTATGAATAATGACAAGGGCACTTAACTTTGGGGATGAGTATTGTCTGTTGCAGGCCTTTAAAACTATCTTGGAGAATAAACAGTACCTTAATGGGATCCACTTCTAAATCAATCTTGTGCTAACTGAAGCCCTCCGAGGGTGATAGACATGAAGCCTTTCTTCAAGAAAGGAAACAGGAAGGAAATTGGAGCCATCCTGATAACATACAGACATCTTTGGATATTTAGAACATTGCTAAAAAAAGTTATGTAAACTTATATTCAGCTTTGAATTGCACTGAAAGCTAAAA